AGAAAAGTAGTTATTAAAAGAGTCTTTCCAAGAGTTTGTTCCCTATCAAACCAGAGGTTTATAAGATAACATGGGAAAAGTGTTAGGGGTGTTAGTATAAGAAAACAATTGTTATTTTCAAAATTTCTATAATATGTATCAATTGTTTTTTATTTACTTTAAAAATTTAACGTATAAAGAAAATTTTATAACATTTATGGAACTATTTAATACTTTAATGTTAACTATAATACACATTATAACAACTTAGAATAAAAAAACAGTTTGTACTAACTGAAGTTACACTGTATACTATACAAACCACATTTTAGGAAACATGAATCGAAATCTGCAAGATAGGAGGGGAGGCTTTATGGACGGGGGAAAGCAGACAATTATAAGACAATTTTAAGTATGTCCATATATGGAGGAAAAGCAGTGAGCAAGGACAGCTGATAGAGCAAGTCTACCATTAACTGGGCTTATAGGCACAAATAAAAAGTACTAGGTTTGGGGAAGAACAGAAAAAAAAATTTTTTTTTTTTTTAAAGATTTTTATTTATTTATTTGACAGAGAGAGAGACAGCGAGAGCAGGAACACAAGCAGGGGGAGTGGGAGAGGGAGAAGCAGGCTTCCTGACGAGCAAGGAGCCCGATGTGGGACTCGATCCCAGGACCCTGGGATCATGACCTGAGCCGAAGGCAGACGCTTAACGACTGAGCCACCCAGGCGCCCCAGAAAAATTTTTTTGACACAAGAAGGTAAGAAAGAAAAGATGAGTTGAAGACAGAGAAACCGTAAAATGGAGAATAAATTAGATGGAGAGAACCATCGGAGTCAGTCACTAGCACGTAAAACCATTTATATTAAAATCCATTTGGGAGAACACAAAATAAATCAGATAAGTAATTGAACATTGGGATGACTAGTCAATTGTCTCACAGCTAACTTGCTTGGCAAATTTCCTTGTTCATTTGTAGCACCTCTATTAATTGTACAAGACCAGTTTTAGAAAGTTTATTTTTTTAAAGATTTTACTTATCTATTTGAGAGAGAGAGAGAGTGACAGAGAGAGCCCAAGAGGGGGTAGGGTCAGAGGGAGAAGCAGACTCCCCGCTGAGCGGGGAGCCCAATGCAGGACTGGATCCTGGGACTCTGGGATCATGACCCGAGCCGAAGGCAGTCGCCCAACCAACTGAGCCACCCAGGCGCCCAACTTTTAGAAAGTTTAATAGAACCAGTGGGGATATCCTACAATGCCTTAGGTGATTTCCAGACTTTTCTTGAAGATGGCTCGCTCTTTGGGTAGCAAAAACTTCTTCCCAACAGGCCTCTATAAGAGCCACAGAATATTTTGTTTATGAAAAATATTGGTTAGTTCCATTTAAACAAATCAGCTCAATGAAGATCTACTTTACTTAAAAGATTATCTTTTAAAGATTTTATTATTTATTTGAGAGAGAGCTCACATGTGCGCATGTGGGGGAGGAGTAGAGGTGGAAGGAGAGGGACAAGCAGACTCAATCCCAGGATCCCAACATCATGACGTGAGCCGAAACCAAGAGTCAGACACTCAACTGACTGAGCCACCCAGGTGCCCCTACTTAAAAGATAATTTACTTTATGAAATTATCTGCCACAAGACTTCTTTAAATAGCAAGATCCTCCAGTAAAGGGATTAATTCATTTGCAGTTAAATATTTGCTTTAAGTTAAATGTACATGCCTTGTTGAGCCTTTGCACATTCTCCTCCTTTCCTATCAACTGGCTTTTACTCATTTTTTTGGTACTTAAAGTACTAAGTTTCAAAATCACTAGGCAAGACCTTTCTGTTCTCTCTCTTTTTTTTAAAGGTTTTATTTATTTGACAGAGAGAAAGACAGCCAGAGAGGGAACACAAGCAGCGGGAGTGGGAGAGGGAGAAGAAGGCTTCCCACGGAGCAGGGAGCCTGATGTGGGGCTCGATCCCAGGACTCTGGGATCATGACCTGAGCCGAAGGCAGACGCTTAACGACTGAGCCACCCAGGCGCCTGACTTTCTGTTCTCTTGATAGCACTTACCACAATGATAATTAATTTCTAAAGTAATTCTTTTAATGTCTCTCTCCCCTGACAGACTACAAGCTTCATAAAGGGAAGAGGATGCATGTGTTGTATTCACTGCAATACAGCACCCAGCCACATATTTGGCCTATATGAAGAGTCCAATAAATATCTGTGACATCTATTTAAGATCCTTGTCGTTAAAAGAACACCAGCTTGGTAAGATACATAAGACACCTTTGCACATATATCCTTGGCTAAACTCCAGGAAGCATTACAGCTCTCAGAGATCACAGTATCACTCCTCAGAGATTCCAGTAACTGGTTTATAAGGAAATAGGGACAGAAAGAATTTGAAACTGATCAACAGAAACCTTTAAATTACATCTCTTTCTAATGTGCAGAGATAAATGGGGCAGGAACAAGGACAACAGGTGAAATATAAACTCCGTATCAGCCTCTAAAAGAAGGATTATTAGAGAGAGCTGCTGTATCTGCCAGCATACAAAATGGAGATCTGGAATGCTGCTTGCTATGAGGCAATCCAAAAAAATTTTAACAATTCAGCATAACAGGGAATAGGACCTTGAAACTATGTAAAAAGCGAACAAAATTTACCATTTTAATGAAAGCTATGCACACAATGAAGCTATTAAGGGGAATAACTGATGTAGCAATTTTGAGACCAAGCACTTTTTCATTTTACAGCAGTGCAGGGAGAGGCAGAAGGAGGAAAATGCGACAGAGACCAAGACAGAACGAAACGTATGCTCATATTCACCAATAAATACTGCATGCTGATAAGAGTACAATATCAAAATTGAGAGCGCCATCAGTTGGTAATCAAAGTGGGGAAGGGATAGACTTATTAGTTGGATGCCTGATACTGGCTACATTGCAGGCAGGCTAAGAGAGAAAAGAAGAAGGGCACAAGACACCCCTAGCAGCAGTATCCATGAGGGAGAAATAGTGGTCAAAATGCTAGGAAAGCTCAGTCTGATGATTGGGGAAAAAACCCAGCAGCACAGAAAAGCAGGGCTAAAAGGTGGAAAGATAAACCAGCAGGGAGAAGATAAATGCCTCCGGGGCAGTACATGCAGGAAGCTGATCATTTGGTTTATTAAACAGATTCCTCTCTGCACCAATCTTCCTAGTATTTTTAAAGAGCCCACCAAAAAAAAAAAAAAAAAAAAGAGCCCTCCCTGCATTTGCATGGCTAATTTACATCTGCACTACGGTGAATGTATGTAATATCATCTAAGAGAAACTCAAACTTTCAATCTGCTGCACTGTTAAATGTCAGCTGAGTGAGGGCAAAAGAACAGGTTTAATGGCCTCAAATGACCTCTCCCTTCTTCCCAAATGAGGGATTTAGGTCTGCTAAAAGGTACAAAGTTCTCTCCAGAGCCCAGTCCTTCTGTAAGCCATAGGCCTGATACTGGAGATTATCTTCCCTTCTGTTGTGACTCCTCCACCTCATTTGTTAGTTTTGACTTTAAAAATCTATTTTAGGGTTGGCAATTTTGACTTATTTACCAAAGCCCAGTTAAGTGGTTTTCAAACTGTTCCAAGAGGGGAAGCTGACTGGGTGGGGCTTGGCCCTCCCAAATTCAATTCCATCAAGAGCATGCTGTTTTGTATACTGGAGTTCACAGTAAGAATTCGTGGGGAGAAACTGTTCCACTGCCTCATGGAGTTAATACTGCAAGGTGCAGTTCAAATCACTTAGTTTTTGTATGTTTTTCAAATTGGGTCTTCTAATACGCAAAAGGGTAAGTTTTTATATTTCTTCCCCCTCCCCCACTATACAGACGCCAAAATGAGCGTTTAAGAGTCAACTGAATATACTCCTTTAGTCAATTTTGTCTCTGAGAACATTGGGGAATTTATAAAATAATTATACATTTCCATGGGTTGGTGGTCTATTTTGCATCATTACAAGACAATAAAATTGGGCATAGAACAAAACTGGGCGTGTGGATTGGCACACGTGTTAAGAAGGTTTTAAGAAGCGGTAGGACTGACAGGTCAAGCAAAAGGTGTGCAGACACTACGGTGAAAGCGGTTCTCTTACAGAAGCTGAAAGACTTAACAGCACATTTCCTAACGGGAAGGGATCCTCTGTCACGCAGAGGCCTCCACGTCCTTCATTCTCCGGAGCCACGTCTAATCCTGGCTTTGGGTAAATCTTCGAGTCCCTGCTCTTAGTAATGGGGCAGACTTCCTACAGGCCAGCAGATTAGGGGTCGCCTATCTCCCGCTTCAGGACAATAAAGGGCTACCGAGACAGCAAGCTTAGGAGTTGTGGCGACGGCAACAGGGACACAGGGAAAAGGGGTAGAACCCGCGCCGTCCTGCGGCCCCCGGGCCTGTCAGCTCCTCACTCACCCACCCACCCACCCCCATTCTTCGGTCTAAACTTACCAGGTGGAAGCTACGGCCCTGGGCAAGGAGTAAGTAACTGGGCTGAGTTGAGTCGAGTTCCGCTGCGCTTCTTAGAGACGCTGCCGGGAGAACGCTGAAACCCAGCAGCCACCGCCGTCGCCACCGCCTCTGCTACTGGGGGGTCTCGCCTCCATCGCTGGCTGCGAGGACTCTGAGGGCACGTGACCGGAAGTACCAAGGCGGGCCTGCCGGGCACGTGACCCAGAGCGCGGCCGCCATGACACCTTCCGCTAGTTCCCTCCCTCCCCCGCCGATTCCCGCCTGTTTCATTTCCTTTCGCCGGTCTCAAGCTGTGAAAGGTTCCGGGATCCTGGCTGGCTCACCCCTTTAGCCTAAAGGTCCTCCGGTCCCTGTTGGCGCTGCGTCGTCAGCCGGCAGCAACCCGTGGACTGCAGGCCGCAGAGAGCGTAATTGCGACCGCGGCCGGAGGGGGAGGGACCACGCGCAAGCAGGGGCGTAACCCGTCACGTGACAAGGAAGTACCGTTAACAGCGTTGTCCCCGCGTCCTCGGCGCTTTTGGATGACGTAAGCCAGGGAGGGGAGGTGCGGAAGGGGAGAAAGATTTTCAGGTGTCGCTCTTAGTTACTCGTTTTAGTGTCTGTACCGCTTGTAGTTGCTAGGTGAGTGTTCCGGAGGCCAGCCGTGAGAGGATCTGATCCACTGATGAAGCGGGGCTGAGCAGTGCTGCTGGTCTGTGAACCTGCTTTGAAAACTTGGTTACTGAGGCTTCTCTCCTGGAGAGATCCGAATACAGTATTAAAGATACCGCTGAAAAAAGGTATTGGTTCCGCTAGAAAGCTTCTTGTGCGCAGGGACCGTTTGCAGCGGTGGGTACAAAGCATGCTGAATGCATGATGCATTTATGAGTGAGTTGCCATTTCTCTAAGGCGAAGAGTTCTGATTATTACTTCTTGGGTAGAAAGATCCTGCTTCTCCCTCTCCCACTCCCCCTGCTTGTGTTCCCTCTCTGGCTGTTTTTCTCTCTGTCAAATAAATAAAACCTTTAAAAAAAAAAAAAAAAGATCCTGTTATGGAATGGTGGAATCTCCTACTTACCCTTCGCATAGTATCTTTAATTGTTTGCTTCTTTCTGTTTTCCTCCTTTCACGTACTTAGTGGGGGAAAGAGAACGCTGTTGTTTGCTTTTGATGTGTGAGCAGCAAACATTGTGGTCCATTGGTAAAATGAGTACTAGGGTGATGAGAAAAACCTTTTCTTAATCCTACTCGTTTATGTTACCATCAAGTTTTAATGCATGGAAATGGAAAGATGATTAGATTTGGACTCAGGAGAAGTGGGTTCTAGTCTCAGCTCTGCCTCAGCAGAGTTCTGTAACCTTGGGCAAGCCAGCCCTTAAGAAGAATTGTTGCACTGACTTGGATAAGCATTTATAGCCACCTTTTATTCGCTAAGTTTTTTTGTTAGGCTAGAGGTGTGCAGGCTTAACAGATAATATTTAAACTCAGCTTTGCAGAAAGGTAGGGTTTTGTTAGATGGATGAAGATTCAAAAAACAGTATATTAAATCATGGAGGCACAGAAAGTTTATACAATGAAAGGGACAAAAGATAACTTGGTATAGTTGGAAAATAGGGGTATAAAGTGGAAGGTGAGGCTGGAAAAAGAAGTAAGGATGAGATCATAGATTATGTAAGAAGGGGAGCGTTTGAAGGTTTGTACAAAGATTTCTTTTTAAAAGTATGTACTAGGGGCACGTGGGTGGCTCCGATTGGTTAAGCCTCTTCCTTGGCTCAAGTCATGATCTTAGGGACTTGGGATCAATCCCGCCATCGGACTCTCCACTCAGTGGCAAGTCTGCTGCTCCCTCTCCTTCTGTGATCTCTCTCACTTTCCCTCTCTCTCAAATAAATAAAATCTTAAAAAAAAAAAGTATAGGGGCGCCTGGGTGGCTCAGTTGGTTAAGCGACTGCCTTCGGCTCAGGTCATGATCCTGGAGTCCCGGGATCGAGTCCCGCATCGGGCTCCCTGCTCGGCAGGGAGTCTGCTTCTCCCTCTGATCCTCCTCCCTCTCATGCTCTCTGTCTCTCATTCTCTCTCTCTCAAATAAATAAATAAAATCTTTAAAAAAAAAAAAAAAAAAAAAGTATATACTTAAAGGGGCTCCTGGGTGGCTCAGCCAGGTTGAGTGACTCTTGATTGGGGTTCAGGTCATGATCTAGGGGTGGTGGGATCAAGCCTCCTATTGGATTGGACACAGAGTCCGCTTGAGATTCTCTCCTCCTCCTACCCACCCTTGCCCCCGCACTCTCGCTTGCTCTCTCTGGAATAAATAAAATCTTTTAAAAAAAATATTTAAAAAAGTTTTGTTATGGAAAATTTCAAACATAGACAAAAATAGATAGGATAATAAAATGAACCCCCATGTACTCAGAGCCCATCTTTAACAGTTGTCAACATTCTGCTGTTGTTTTTACAGAGAATTTAAATTTGTAAGTACTTTTTATATTCATTGTCACATTTGATTAATAGCAAATTTCAGGTTGAGCTCAATTCTGTTGTATATAAATATTAGGTAGGAAGATTATATTCATTTTATGTGAAAATTTCTTTGGGTTTTAGTTGAATCAAAAGTGTGACATGGCCACTTTAAAAACACATCAGATGCTATTTTAGGTTGTAGTATAGAAATTTAGTGCTCAAATCCAGGAAGTTAGTGTTTCTATTCTATTCTGTTATCCAACTACTTAAGGAGTATTATGTTCAGTTCTAGGCACCATATTTTCAGGCAAACTAAATCACCTGTGTAGAAGGTTGACAAGAATAGAGAGGAATTTGGAAATTGTCATGCCAGAAATGAAGAATTGGGAATGTTAAATTTTTAGAAGACCTGATAACACTGATAACACTTTTCAAATACTGAAGGGTTGTTTTGGAAGAAGTAAACTTGCTCCCTGACACAGTTAGAAATAATTAGTAAAAGCTCTAAGTGATCAGATTTAAATATTAAAGGGATAGAATAAGCACAAAGAAGTATAAATTTGGAGTTGGCTTAACCCCATGGCCCTGCAACTTCTCTTCAGAGTGACATTGCTTATGCTGTTTCTTTTTCATTCTCATTTCCCATTAAATCTTTTTTAGAAAAACAGGAACTTACTAGGTTCCTTTTTACCTCGTTAAATTATAACTTGTAGGACACTGAGATCAAGGCCAGATGGCCTATCCACCTCAGAGCCTAGGATAACAAACAGAAGAGATAGACACTGTGGTCTTGATGTCATTCCTTTCTTTCTTCTTCAGATTTTATACTACGGTTTTGTCTTTTTCTTGTATCTTCAATCCTTTTCATTTTAAAGATTCTTAGCTACTACTTACAAATCTGTTTGAGTCTCTCCTGGTCAGAAAGTGAAGAGAGGTTGGGGTGCCTGGGTGGCTTGGTCGTGTTGGATTCTTGATTTCAGCTCAGGTCACGACCTCATGGGTTGTAGGATAGTACCCCACCTCCGGCTCCTCACTCAGCAGTGTGTCTGCTTGAAGATTCTCTCCCTCTGCCCCCCACCTTCAAATAAGTCTTAAAAAAAAAAGAGAGAGGTTTTCTTCCCTGCCAGATTTCTTCGGTAATTGGAAGGCCTTACCTTTACTTCCTTACCACTCAACACTTTTCTCAAGTCTGTTTTCTAGTGTGTGTCCACAGCACTTAACAGAAATTATGTGACTAATACCAAATCCTTCAATGCCTTTCAGTTGCCCCTCAAATTAAAATTTATTCAGGTTCCTTGGTTTGAAAGTCAAAGTATTTCATACCTTGTGCTGAATTACTCTTCCACTTTTATCTTTCATTACTCCATTCCTTGTATTCCTGTGTTTCAACCAAAGACTAAATGTATCTCTAAATGTATCCTCTATATTTCTGCTTATTGCTGCCCTTTTCCTTTTCCTTCTAATAAAAGCCTACTCAGTTCCAGTGCTACTTCCCTTAGGAAGTTTTTTATGGTTCCCTTTAACTCAATGTGATTTTTCTGTCCTCTAAGTTCCAACATAGCACTTTGCTTATGTCTCCCTTATGAGGGGGGTGTGTGTTCATTTTCTCCCTATTTATAAAGTGACTGATTTCTGGAATTATTTTGTCTTGTTCCCACCATTGTGCCTCATATTTTACTAGGAACTCAATAAAATGAATGAGTGAAAAGAATGAGAGATTTTTCATAGGTCAGGAATTCTCAATTTTTTTGGTAAAGATTTTATTTATTTTTAAAATGATTTTATTGATTTATTTGAGAGAGAGAGCATGAAAGGAGGGAGGGGTAGAGGGAGGAGAAGCAGACTCCCAGTTGAGCAAGGAGCCTCATGGGTCTCAATCCCAGGACTCCAGGATCGTGACCTGAGCCGAAAGCATACCCTTTACCAACTGAGCCACCTTGGCACTCTGAAAGATTTATTTTTAGTTAATCTCTACACCCAGAGTAGGGCTTGAACTCACAACCCTGAGATCAAGAGTCACACACTCCACTGACTGAGCCAGCTAGGCGCCCTGTAAGTTTCAGATATTTTGAGTATGGGACTACTAAAGATTTGTTGTTTTTCTTGAAATGCTATTCTCCTTGCAGAGGTCAAGCTGTATTAAAAGAACAGTATAATGAATAGGAAATAAGACTATATTATGTCTATGCAATTAAAAAAATCATAAGCTTTTGTGTGTTTTGACACTGGGAAGTATGCTCCATGAATGTTAGGACTGTTTTGTCCTGTTTTATCTCCTGGACCTAGAGCAGTGCACAAGTCGGTGCTATTGTAACCTAACTTTGAGGTAGGTAGAAACTACACGACATGAGTTGTCGCACGAAGGAAACTTCATTTGCAGCAAATAAGATCATGGGGAGTAACGTCCAAACCTGTGACTCCCCGAGCAAGGGCGAGTGCGTTGCTTTTACTGAGGGCTAGGATGACTATTTAGATAGGGGAGCCTTGTCGTCCTGTGTCGGGGCGGGCGTAAGGTCCTTACGGAAACATGCTCATACGTACATTGTATGTCATGTAAAGCAGGCTCGTGCTCCGTCTTGGGTGGAGATTTTAGTGTTCCATTGAGGTAAAGGTAACCGTCGGTCACTCCGCGGTCCATCTGCGCAGGCGTGAGTCGGGGGGCGGGGGGGCGCGGGGGGGGCGGTGAGCTCAGAAGGGTCTGGGCCGCCTGAGCTGACAGCCCCCGTCCAGGCAATGGTTACTGCTTGAGGGGTAGTTTCGGTTTCTATCACGGGATGTTAGGCCCCTCGGGTCTTTTGCCTGAGTGAAGAGATAAGCTGGAAAGAAGAGCTTAAGGAAAAATGTGGGACAAAGGTCAGTGGCAACAAGCGGGTGAGAAGTAAAGGTTATGTTTTAGGGTCTAGCTGGTGACACTATGTACATATTTGATGAATATATGAATGAGTAAATACATGTAGTTCCGAAAAAAAATTAAAAAGTATAAATAATTTAAAAACAAATAGAAATGGTGGTTTCTAAATTTTTCTGTAGTGTTTGCTTTTAATTTGGCATGTTACAAATGACTGAGAAAAGTTAAAATTAATGGGTAAGAATTTCCTTGAACTTTATTTCTTTTTTGGAAGTTGGTGCAATTTGACAAAAATGTACACTTGAGAGTTGCTGAACAGATAAACTCTTGTGTTAGTTTACAAAGTCTTCATTGGGTATTTAGCATTTGCTGTCTTGTATTCTTATTCCTATTCATTCATATCAATTCTCTTATTGAAGCTCTTACTTTTCTTTGAGTTTTAATTCCCTGCACTTTACATCCCACTTAGTAGGTGCATTCATTCAACAGATACTGAGCCCCTGATGGTTTGGAGAAAGAGATCCAGAGGTCTCTTTCTATTAAGCACAGTTAAATTGTTGGCTGATAACTGTTGAACTTGCTGATAAGGGTTTATAGTTTGAAGCCTTTAGAGAACGTTGCTTTTTTTTAAATATATATTTTTATTTTTTTATTTTTTATTTTTAAATTTATTTTTAAATGTTTTATTTATTTATTCATGAGAGTCAGAGAGACAGAGAGGCAGAGGCAGAGAGAGAAGCAGGCTCCCCGCCTAGCAGGGAGCCCGATGCGGGACTCCATCCCAGGACCCTGAGCCATCCAGGCGTCCTAATATATATTTTTAAAGGATTTTATTTATTTATTTATTTGAGAGAGAGAGCGGCAAAGGGAGAGGGAGAAGCAGGCTCTCTGCTGAGCAGGGAGCCCGATGCATGGCTCGATCCCAGGACCTTGGGATCATGACCCAAGCCGAAGGCAGACACTTAACTGGCTGTGCCACCCTGGCGCCTCAAGAACGTTGCCTTTTAATGACTCTTAAAGGCAGAAGAAGATTTACAACTTGAAGAAGTACAGCTGAGGTTGCTATTTTACCAAAGAAGAGCTTGACCAATTTTCCTCTTAAATCCCACATTACCTATCCTACTTACTCAAACTGTGAGATAAATAGAATGGGATAGGATTATGGAAGACCTTGAGAATCTCGATTTGATTCCCTGGGATTTCAGAGTCCGGCAATGATAGAGTACAAGCTGATGGTTGCGTATAATATTACTTATGTGTGCTTTCTTTCCTTTTAGATGCTAAGGACCTCCAGAGTAGGGATCCTTGTCCCTTTCTTATGTTTCTCTTTGTTCTCCATATATCCATTAAATGCATGCTAACTGAGCGAAGAGCTTCTTAAATTATATTTTTGCAGGTTTTATTCAGGAACACTGTGCCTGTCACTCAACGTAATTTCAACTTTCCGGCTAAATGACTTTTGTGCCAGTGATACCGGAGTCCTACAGCCATGTTCTTGCAGAGTTTGAGTCTCTGGATCCATTACTTTCAGCCCTGAGGCTGGACTCCAGTCGTCTAAAGGTGAATTTCTTGATCCTTGTAGCTGTTTCATGTTCATATTTGTATGTTCTGTGTGCTCTTTCATATATGCTCCCTGCCCTGTAGTTCTTTATGTTTGATGGAATCTTGGGTGTTCTTCCCTGTGCTAGTAATACCTTACATACAAGTAGCATGTTCATAGCTCTTTTTTTCTTTTTTTAAAGATTTATTTAAGAGAGAGAGAGAGCGTGTGTGCACGTGAGCACTAAGCTAGGGGTGAGGCAGAGGGAGAGGGAGAAGCAGACTCCCCACTGAGCAGGGAGCCTGATATGTGGGCCTCGATCCCAGGACCCCGGGACCATGACCTGAGCCGAGGGCAGATGCTTAACCAACTGAGCCACCCAGGCACCCCTGTAGCTCTTTCTTGATTTACTTTTTGAGCTCTCATTTGAATTCTTCTTTCCCATCCTTGAAAACCATGGTACTGATTGCTGAATTTTTTTCCCTTCACAATAATCTGTTTTTTTCTCAGAAAATAATGTATTTGATTGAAAATAAAATAGTATAAACGAGTATACCGTGTTGCATTTTAAGCAACATGAACCACTGCCGTTATACTAAGCTCATTCCAAAACAAGGAGTTAGTTTGATGTACCCTCCATTTTAGGAAACAGAGCAAAAGCTGTTAGTTCTGTGGGAAGAAGTATGTGCTCCCCTCAAACCCTGAGTTCTGATAAACTCAGGAATGACATGGTGAAGAAGAAAATCTTATAACCAATTCCAAAATAATTTCATTTTTATACTTCTGCTCCCCCAAGTACTTTTGTAGCCTCTGAGCAAAAGAATAAGACATAATAGGCAAAGTAAAATGAACAACGATCATGAGGGTTGATTTCAGTTAGACTTTTTTAACTGCACGTTATGGGATGTCCTACCTGGTGTAGTATGGCTTAACCAATAAAGGTGTTTATAACCCTGTTGGAAGCTATTGTTTCTGGGTTTAGTGTAGTGGCCCAATGATATCACTGAGGTACCAGGCTCTCCATCTTTCCTGTTCTATCATCATCCATATATTGGTTTTTAGTCACAGTTGCAAAATAGGTGTCCTGGCTCCAGTCTTGATGTTTCCATTAGCATCTCAAGCAGGAAAGATGGGGCCACAAGCAGAGGCTTTCTTTTCTTTTTTCCCCCCTGGGTTTATTGTTTTATTTTTTTATTTTTAAAAAATCTGTTTATTTTATTTTTAAAATTATTTTTATTTATTTATTTTTGAGATTTTAATTTATTTGACAGAGAGAGACACAGTGAGAGAGGGGACACAAGCAGGGGGAGTGGGAGAGGGAGAAGCAGGCTTCCTGCCGAGCAGAGAGCCCGATGTGGGACTCGATCCCAGGACCCTGAAGGCAGATGCTTAACGAGTGAGCCACCCAGGCACCCTATTTTATTTTTTTTAAATCATGATAAGTGTACTTTTTTTAAGCAGGTTTTTTTTTTTTTTTAGATTTTACTTATTTGAGAGAGTGAGAGAGAGAGCACTAGCAGGGGAGAGAGAGGGAGAAGCATGCTCCCCGCTGGGGCTCAATCCCAGGACCCTGAGATCATGACCTGAGCGGAATGCAGACTCTTAACCAACTGAGCCACCCAGCTGCCCCATGATAAGTGTACTTTTAATCCCCATCCCCTATTTCCCCCGTTCCCCCACCTACCTCCCTTCTGGTAACCATCAGTTTGTTCTCTATAGTTAAGATTGTCTGTTTCTTGGGGCACCTGAGTAGCTCAGTTGGTTAAGCATCCACTTTTCAGTTTTGGCTCAGGTCGCGATCTCAGGGTTGTGGGATCCAGCTCTGCACTGGGTTCCGTGCTGAGTGTGGAGCCTGCTTGGGATGCTTTCTCTCCTTTTCCCCCTGACTCTCCCTCCCCCTCTTTAAAAAAAAAAAAAAAAGTCTGTTTCTTGGTTTGTTTCTTTAGCTCTTTTTTTTTTCCTTTGCTTGTTTGTTTCTTAAATTCCACAGTGAGATCATATGGTATTTTATCTTTCTCTGACTTCACTTAGCATTATACACTCTAGCTCCATCCATGTGGGTGCACATGGCAAGATTTCATTCTTTTTCTATGGCTGAGTAATATTTTGTTGTAGATATATACCACATTTTCTTTATCCATTCATTTGTCGATGGACACTTGAGCTACTTCCATAGTTTGGCTGTTGTAAATAACACGGTAGTAAACGTAGAGGTGCATGTATCCCTCTGAATTAGTGTTTTTTTATTTTTTTAAAAAAAGTTATTTATTTGAGAGAGAGAGAAAGAGAGAATGCGCACAGAGGGAGAGGAAGGAGCAGACTCACTGCTGAGCAGAGAGCCTGATGTGGGGCTCAATCCCAGAACCCCGAGATCATGACCCAAGCCGAAGGTGGATGCTTAACTGACTGAGCCACCCAGGTGCCCCATGTTCTTTGTATTTTTTGTGTAAATACCCAGTAGAGCAATTACTGGGTCCTAGAGTAGTTCTGCTTTTAATTTTTTGAGGAATCTCCATACTGTTTTCCACAGCGGCTGTGCTGGTTTTCATTCCCACCAACAGTGCAAAAGGGTTCCTTTTCTCCACATCCTTGCCAACACTTGTTTCTTGTGTTTTTGATTTTAGCCACTCTGATAGGTAGGAGGTGATGTCTTATTTTGGTTTTGATTTGCATTTCCCTGATGATGAGTGATATTGAGCATCTTTTCATGTATCTGTTGGCCATCTGTATGTCCTCTTTGGAAGAATGTTTGTTCATGTCATCTGCCCATTTTTTAGTCAGATTATTTTTTGGATATTTTGGGTTTTTGAGTATTGAGTTGTATAAGTTATCTGTATATTTTGGATACTAACCCTTTATCGGAAATGTTGTTTATAAATATCTTTTCCCATTCAGTAGGTTACCTTTTAGTTTTGTTGATTGTTTCCTTTGTTGTGTAGAAACTTTTTATTTTGATATAGTCCCACTAGTTTATTTTGGCTTTTATTTCCTTTGCCTCAGGAGACATGTCTAGAAAAATGTTGCTGTGGCCAATGTCCGAGATAACTGCCTATGCTCTCTTCTTGGATTTTTTGGTTTCAGGTCTCACATTTAGGTCTGTAATCCATTTTTAGTTTATTTTTGTGTATGGGGTTAGAAAGTGGTCCAGTTTCATTCTTTTGCACGTGGCTGTCCCAGTTTTCCCAGCACTATTTGTTAAAGAGACTGTTTTTTCCCATTGTTTATTTATTCCTCCTTTGTTGAAGATTAATTGACCTTATACTCGTGGGTTTATTTCTGGATTTTCTGTTCTGTTCCATTGATCTATGTGTCTGTTTTTATGCCAGTACCATACTGTTTTAATTACTACCACTTTGTAACATAACTTGAAATCGAGACTTGTGATACCTCCAGTGTTTCAAGATTGCTTTGGCTCTTCAAGGCCTTCTGTAGTTTCTTTCTTTTTTTTTTTAAAGATTTTATTTATTTATTTGACACAGAGAGAGAGAAAGTGAGAGAGGGAACACAAGGAGGGGGAGTTGGAGAGGGAGATTCAGGCTTCCCGCTGAGCAGGGAGCCCGATGTGGGGCTCTATCCCAGGACCCTGGGATCATGACCTGAGCTGAAGGCAGACGCTTAACGAATGAGCCACCCAGGTGCCCCCTTTTGTAGTTTCATACAAATTTTGGAATTGTTCGTTGTAGTTCTGTGAAAAATGCTGTTGGTATTTTGATACAGATTGCATTAAATCTGTAGATTGTGTTGGGTAGTATAGACATTTCAACAATATTTGTTCTTCCAACCTGTGAGCATGGAACATCTTTCCTTTTTTTTTTTTTTGCATCATCTTGAATTTCTTTCATCGGTGTTTTATAGTTTTCAGAGTACAGGATTTTCATCTCTTTTGGTTAAATTTATTCTTTGATACTGTTTTTGGTGCAGTTGTAAACGGGATTTTTTTTTTTTAATTTCATTTTCTGCTGCTTCATTAATAGTGTATAGGAATGCAACAGATTTCTGTACATTGATTTTGTATCCTGTGACTTTACTGTATTTACTTTATCAGATCTGGTAGTTTTTTGGTGGAGTCCTTAGGGTTTTCTATATATACTATCATGTTATCTGCAAGTAGTGGGGGTGTTACTTCTTCCTTACTGATTTCAGTGCCTTTTATTTCTTTATGTTGTCTACTATCTGTGGCTAGGACTTCCAGTAGTATGTTGAGTAAAAGTGGTGAGATTGGACATCCTTGTCTTGTTCCTGACCTTAGGGGAACAGGTCCGTTTTAGCCCATTGAGTATGATGTCGTCTGTGGATTTTTCATAGAAGGTCTTTATTATGTTGAAGTATGTTCCCTCTGGACCTACTTTGCAGAGGATTTTTATCATGAATGGATTTTGTACCTTGTCAGGTGTTTTTTCTGCATCTATTGAAATGATTGTATGGTTCTTATCCTTTTTCTTACTTATGTGATGTATCATGTTGATTGTTTGCGAATACTGAATCATCCTTGTATCCTGGGAATAAATCCCATTTGATTGGGTATGTGATTTTTTTAATGTATTGTTGGATTCAGCTTGCTAATATTTTGTTGAGGATATTTGCTTCAATATTCATGAGAGATATTGGCCTGTAGTTCTGTTTTTTGTGGTGTTTTTATCTGGTTTTGATATCAGGGTGGTAATGGCCTCATTGAATGAATTTGGAAGTTTTCCTTCCTCTTGTATTTTTTGGAATAGTTTGAGAAGAATAGGTAGTAAGTCTTATTTATTTATTTTAAAGATTTATTTCTTTGTTTTAGAGAGTAAGTGAGCAGTGTGCACATGCAGGTGGGGGGAGGGCAGAGGAAGAGGGGGAGAGAGAGAACCCCAGGAAGATTCCCCACTGAGTGTGGATCCCGACTGGAGGGCGGTACTTGATCCCACGACCCCAAGATCATGACCTGAGCAAAACCAAGAGTCAGGAATACCTGGCTGGCTCAGTTGGTTAAGTGTCTGCCTTCAACTCAGGTCATGATCCTGGGGTCCTGGGATTAAGTCCCGCATCAGGCTCCCTGCTCAGTGGGGAGCCTGCTTCTCCCTCTGCCTGCTGCTCCCCCTGCTTGTGCATGCGCACTCCCTCGTGTTCGCTCTCTCTCTCTCTCTGACAAATAAATAAATAAATAAAAATCTTTAATTAAAACAAAACAATGAAAACAAACCAAGAGTCAGATGCTCAACCAACTACTGAACCACCTAGGCGCCCCAGTAGTAACTCTTCTTTAAATTTTCATAGAATTCTCTTGTGAAGCCATCTGGCCTTGGACTTTTGTTTGTTGGGAGTTTTTTGATTACTTCAATTCAGTTTCATTGCTGGTAATTGGTCTGTTCAAATTTTCTATTTCCTCCTGCTTTAGTTTTGGGAGATTAAATTTCTAGGAACAGTTTTGGGAGATTATATTTCTTGGAACTTACCCATTTCTTTTAAGTTGTCCAGTTTGTTGGCATACAGGTTTTCATAATATTCTGTTACAGTTTTATTTCTGTGGTGTTGGTTATTTCTCCTCTTTCATTAGTGATTTTGTTTATTTGGGTCTTCTCTCTGTTTTGTTTTTTTTTTAATGAGTCTGGCTACAGGTTTATCAATTTTGTTGATCTTTTCAGAGAACCAGCTCCTGGTTTCACTGATCTGTTGTATTTTTTTAGTTTCTATATCATTTTTTTTTTCTGCTCTAATCTTTATTATTTCCTTCCTTTTGCTTGGTTTAGGTTTTATCCTCCTTTTTCTAGCTCTTTAGGTGTGAGGTTAGGTTGTTTGAGATTTTTCTTGTGTCTTGATTGTAGGCCTGTATTGCTGTCAACTTCGCTCTTAGAACTACTTTTGCTGCATCAAAGATTTTGGACCATTGTTTTCATTTTCATTTGTTTCCATGTAATTTTTTATTTCTTCTTTGATTTCTTGGTTGATCCATTCATTGTTTAGTAGCATATTATTTAATATCCATGTATTTGTGCTCTTTCCAAATTTTTTATTGTGGTTGATTTCTAGTTTCATAGTGTTGTGGTCAGAAAAGGTGCATGGTAGGACTTTGATTTTGTTTTAATTTATTGAGACTTGTTTTGTGGCCTAATGTGTGATCTATTCTGGAAACTGTTCCATGTGCACTTTAAAGAGTGTGTATTCTGCTGTTTTAGGGTGGAATGTTCTGAATATGCCTGTTAAATTCATCTGGTGCAGCGTGTCATTCAAAGCCACTGTTTTCTTGTTGATTTTCTGTTTGGATGATTTATCCATCGATGTGAATAGGGTGTTCAAGTCCCCTACTATTATTGTATCATTACCATTGTTTTTCAAAGGCTTTCTTTTCTTTGACTCTGCGTTTTACCTAGTAAGGCAAACCTTTCTAAGAAACTCTAGCAGGCTTATTATTAGCTGGATGTTAGTCACATAGCTCCCCCCTAGCTTCAAGAGAAAATGGGTAATGGGGCACCTGGGTGGCTCAGTCAGTTAAGCATCTGCCTTCGGCTCAGGTCGTGATCTCAGGGTCCTGGGATCAGAGCCCCATGTGAAGCTCCCTGCTCAGCGGGGAGCCTGCTTCTCCCTCTCCCTCTGCCTGCTGCTTCCCCTGCTTGTGCTCTCTCTCTCTCTGTCAAATAAATAAATAAAATCTTAAAAAAGGAGAGAGAGACTGGGTAAATGAATATTTAGATTTTCCAGCTTCTGTGGTGGAAAGCAAGGTTGAGAGTGTTGGGAGTGTCTGTTCATCAGCCAAGCAACAAATTTTGCCACAGAATATTATTGGGCCCAGCATGGCCACTGTTTTTTTCTGGTAGATAAGGAAAGGAATCAGCAAGCTGAGCGTGGTTGGGGGAGACATAATTGACCTGCATCTGTGTCCTCCACAGTCCTACTTGTTCTAAAAGCTGTGGGTAGTTTGTGTGCCAGTTATGTAGACTGTGTGCCAGTGAGTAAATGGTTAAAGCATTGCTTTATCGCCTGGAGACTTACTTGATCTTTCATCCTTGTGGTCAACATTGGAATGACCTAGCCAAATTATGCAAAAGATGAATGGTCTGATAACTGGATTTTGCTAAGAGAAAATTACTCATTTGTACAGTTGAGCCTATTCAGTCATTTTGAGATTCAATTAAACATTTAAAACCAAAATGTTCTGTATGTTTCACTATACTAGAATGAAAGGGTGAGTGCCATTATGTGGTGGCCAACTGGGCAGGGGGTAGGGTTGGGGGAGGAACCTGCTACACAGATCCTTTCGTATTTATTTCCGGTAGTTAATTTGGTTATGTGACTATGATGATCTTGTCTGTTTAAATGTTTTTAGTGCACGAGCATAGCTGTGTCTCGGAAATGGTTGGCTTTGGGCAGTTCAGGAGGAGGACTCAATCTCATTCAGAAAGAAGGCTGGAAGCACAGGCTTTTTCTTTCACACAGGGTAAGATTAAGGGTAGTCCTGTCATACCATTTGGACTATCTTTCGTAAATTTGAATTTCTCTATTATGAATAATCATTTGGAGTAAAAGGGGAATGTAAATCTTGAGATTTAAAAGTAAAAAATGAACATTTTTGAGACGCCTAATATTTTTCCTTTTGTGTTACAGGAAGGTGCAATTTCTCAGGTTGCCTGTTGTTTACATGATGATGATTATGTTGCTGTAGCTACCAGGTGAGAAACTCCTTTAAAATGATCTGATCTTTCCTAAATACATTTTTTATTTTATTTTATTTTATTATTTATCTTATTTTATTTTGATTTAATTTAATTTAATTTTATATTTTATTTTATTTTATTTATTTTATTTTATTTTATTTTATTTTATTTTATTATTTTATTTTTTTGAGAGTGAGCCCTCACGCCAGCAGGGGGAAGGGCAGAGGAAGAGGGAGAGAAAGAATCCCAAGCAGGCTGTCTGCTGAGTGTGGAGCCTGATGCCATGCAGGGGTTCCATCTATGACCCTGAGATCACGACCTGAGCCGAAATCAAGAGTCCAAAGACACTTAACTGACTGAGCCACCCAGGTGACCCTCTAAATACAGTTTAAATTGACAGATGTAGTTGTATGTTTGTTAGGGTGGCCAACCATCCTGGTTTGCCTATGATTGTCCCCAATTTTAGCACTGAAAGTCTCGTGTCCTGAGGAAATCTCTCAGTTCCCTGCAAACCAGGACAGATAGATAGTTGGTCACTATGGTTTATGGAAAATGTCAGTGTGAGGCAACAATATTTCAGTGGCCTTAAAAGAGAAAGGTGACAGAGATAATTTAGAAAGTCTAAGTTCTCTTGTACTAGATAGGTGGACTAAAAGCAAGGAAATTAGTATCTTGACTTTCTACTTATTTTTTTTTTTTTTGAAGAACAGGAGTTTGCCTGTATATTTAATATAATTGATACTGTGATACAAAGAAATTGCACCTTTTTCACCATTGCCAAAAATCTGCCTCTATGACTCATTTTCTTGCAGTCAAGGTCTTGTAGTTGTTTGGGAATTAAATCAGGAGCGTCGTGGGAAACCAGAACGAATTTATGTGTCTTCAGAGCATAAAGGCCGAAAAGTTACAGCTCTCTGTTGGGACACAGCTATTCTTAGAGTTTTTGTAGGTGATCATATGGGGAAAGTTTCTGCCATCAAACTTAACACTTCTAAGCAAGCAAAGGTAAGAATCAGTCCAGTTCTTTGTGTATGTGGGTGAGATATAAGATACTGTCTTACATAATTTCAATTGAAGGACACAATTATATCTATTATATTTCTTGGGGGACTGATCTAGAGCCCAGACTATTAATTTTGAGGAGACTTGTTTGTGTGTAGTACATATAGTAGCCTGGTTTAGCTTGATACTGTTGCAGGGTATCTTTTGTGAGTTAACTTCAATAATTTGCACATTGTCTATTACAGTACTCTGTAATTCACCTGTATGGCACACTTAAATTAAGCATTAATACTAGAGTATTAATAAAGTTAAGATGCGGGACACCCGTCTGCCTTCAGCTCGGGTCATGATCCCAGGATCCTGGGATTGAGTCCCGCATCGGGCTCCATGCTCAGTGGGGAGCATGCTTCTCCCTGTGTCTGCCCCTCCCCCTGCTTGTCCACGTGCTCTTGCTCTCTCTCTCGCTCGCTCTCTCTGACAAAATCTTTAAAAAAAAATAAAGATGCCTCTTTTTTTTCTTTCCTTTTTTTTATTTTGAGAGAGAGAGAATAAATGGGGGTAGGGACAGAGGGAGAGAATCTTTCAGACTCCTCGCTGAGCTCAGAGCCCGATGCAGGGCTTGATCCCAGGACCTATGAGATCACGACCTGAGCTGAAACCAAGAGTTGGACGCTTAACTGACTGAGCCACCCAGGTGCCCCGATAAGATGCCTCTTTATTAGTTGTGTGAACAAAATGGGAAACAGAGTTGTCCAGGCACCTATTCTCCTGGTCCCTGTTTAGAAGAAACTCATGAGTCTAGGTATATTTTTTTCTCAGAATGGATGTAACTTACCATAAATTGAACCTTAAAAGGTACCTCCTGAATTGTGTTCAACTGCCGGGGTCCCAGGCTTCCTGCTACAGTTGTTGGAGTAGAAGGGTTAAGTTTCAGGTTATCCTAACAGAAGGCTCCTGTGTCTCATTAAGGCAGAGCAGACCAAATTCTGACTGTCCCTCTTCTCTAAAATTGTTGTAGTGGGGAGCTTGGCTTATTTCCACGTAGGATTTTTGCAGGAAAGAAGAAATCTAACTACCATTGGCTTCCTTATTTTGTTTTAATTAACACATAAGAATATTCTTCTGATTTGGCCATGGTAACCCATCAAAGTTACCTCTAGATTCCTAACATATTTTGATCCCAAAAAACATTCGGAACCTTACAGGTAGTATAGCCCTAATTTGTCTTTTTTCCAAAGGGAGAAGTACTGTTTTCGGTGTGACAAAGTTCTGTCACATGTTCCAAAACTTGCTTTTATCTTTGTCATTCCAGCTTCTAAGATTAGATAACCAGAAACAGAGCCTTAAGAGTTGTCTTCTACAGTTATGTAACGAAGTATTTCACAGCTTTTTAAATGAGTGAAACTTTGATATCCTAACAGGCAAATTAAATTTTGGCCCATTTAAAATTTTTATTTTGCTATCCAAAATTATTTTCACTTAAAAGGTAAAGAGAAAGAAATTGTATGGGTATGTAAAGATGAGTCTTCTTTCCTTGTCATGTCTCTTTTAGGCAGCTGCTGCCTTTGTGATGTTTCCTGTTCAGACAGTAACAACAGTTGACTCCTGTGTTGTGCAGTTAGATTATTTGGATGGAAGACTACTTATATCTTCACTTACTCGATCCTTCTTGTGTGACACTGAGAGGTATACTGACCAACTATGAGTCATAGGTTATGCAGAATTCTAGAACTGTCAGAGACTTAGAAGTTATCTAGCCCAAACCCCTTCGTTCAGTAATACAGATGCTAATGAGGAACCAGCTGTGTGCAAGCTAATGTTAGAGAATAGGAAAGACGGGAGACTGAGACAGTCCAGTGGGCAACTAAGACAGATGTTCAGTTAACTCCATGAAGTATGGTCAAAGGACCTTGAGGGAAGGCCCGACAAAGGCCTGTTTCAATATGGGGAATCAGGAAGTCTTCCTTGATTGAATTTGTTGTTGTTTAGATTTGTTGTATGTTTAATAGAATTTTACTAATGGGTAAAATTGGGTGAAGAATAATTAAGAGCTTTGTGAAGCTGACATATTTTACCAAAATCTCAAGGGTGGAACCAAAGGTTCAGTGAATGGCAAAGGAGTGTTTCTCTGAACAGATTGGTCTCTGAAACACCAGAACAAAATAGGAAACAACTTGGAATAAGTATTATGTATCACTGTGCTAAAGTTCCTCAGCCATCCTCACTGCAGGGAAATTTTCACTCCTCATTCTTTTTTCCCCACTACCATATTCTTCAGGACCAGCCACCCTTTTGAATATTTATTAAGGAAATTTTGAGCATACATAAAGGAGAATTGTATATTGAATCCCCATGAAACCACTCGGCAGCTTCAATAATTTTGATGATGATTTTTGGTAGGCTAAATTTGGAGTAAGAGGGGAAGGAAGGGACATTCTAGCAGGAAGGAACAGCCTCTTGGGGAAAAGTGAGAAAGAATTAGGCATATTTTAAAACCTACCAGCCTGGCTTAAGTAGGGCAGTTGGGGAAGATCAAGTTGGTAAATTGGCACCATAGAGTGACAGCCTTAAATGTCACATTAATTAAGTGGGTTCTCAGGTCATTTTAAGAAAGTGTGCATATAGAATATCAGGATTTGAAAATTGATGTCCTTAGAATTCTCCAGGCTTGGAAAGTCTTAATTTCCAGGAGTTTATACATCTCAATTAGAAGGCTGCTATTCTAGAAAGCAGGAGATTATTACAAAAGGTTTGAAGGAATGTATCCGGAGTCAGGGATGGTAGAGGGAAGGTTGGGGAGAAGGTATACTATGTATTTATTTTCTTGGATGGGAAAGGCATGTGGAAAGGAGGCCAGTTATAGCAGGTAGCAGGTGTCTGATACCAGAGAACCTAGCTGGACAGCAGAGAGGCAAGGCTTTGAGATGCACCTGGTCAGTTTACATGGAATTAGTGGGAAGGAGGGTGTACTTGGTTCTGACTTGTCTCAGACAAGTTAGACTTAGAGAATTGGAGATCATCTAGTGTCACCCTTTCATTCTTGCAGATCAGAAAGCCTAGGCATCCCAAGTGATAGAGCATGCCTGCAAAACTAGAACTTTTCTGTCTCAATTCTGTGCCTCTGCTCTTATCTCACAGTTCCCCCCAAACATCCTTTGACGTTGGACCTTTGGCCATTAACTCCACACTTGAGATTTTTAAAGTATTAACTTCAACAAGTTCCTAACTATTTTTGTCTGTAGATTTTCAAGTTTTCCAAGAGACCTAATTTAGAAAGATACATGATAGACTTTTTAAAATAAAGAGCTAAATAAGTAGAGGTTTATTTTTCCTTCTGTGCAGTGGAGTTGCTAATCATCATTTTCCCATTCACAGGGATGTGGCTAGAGTTGGTTATGAGAATAACAGATTCTGCTGCTAGAATAACATGTTAAAGAAATGCCCACTTCCTGTTGACTGGAATTCAGTATGGGGGGAAATGGATAGTACAATAATTTAAAAAATACATTTATGTTTAAAATTTTTTGTTTGTTTCAACCTATATTCCCTCCCAACAAACAGCATTTTTTTTTTTTAAGTAGGCTATACACCCAGCATGGAGCCCAATGCGGGTCTTAAACTCATGACCCTGAGATCAAGACCTGAACTCTGAGATCAAGAGTCGGATGCTTAACCGACTGAGCCATCAGGCGCACCAGCATTTTTATTTTTGGAAAGGGGGCTCTTAGTAGCTAATTGAAGGGATAGATACAAATTTTCTTCTCCTGCCAGCCACTGGCTACTTTCTGTTAGTATTGTTGATGAGCAAGGTGGATCCCAGGAAGGAATAGAAAAAATAGAAACAAAGAACTATGGTATAGGGGAGAGAACATTGACTAATGGAGCCTGACAATATGATTGCAAATTCTGGCTCTGCCACTTTTTAAGCCATGCTAAATGTTGGTTTCCCCATCCAGAAGGTGGAGATAGTTTTAGGGATTAACTAAGATAACGTATATGAAATACTTACTAGCCTTGTGCCTGTTACATATTTGAAAATGTAGAAAGCAAGGTTAATGAGCATACGAGTAAGAATGAGTTGCCTATATTTGTTCACTCAGCAAACATTTATTGCACTCTTCTGGACCCTTAGCACTGTATTAAGCATCATAGAGGATATAAGGTAGTCAAGAAATAATTTCCCAAATAAGGAACATAAGTAATAAATCCATAACTTCTTAGATTGCTCTGTATGCATTTCGAGGCACTTTCACATCCATGTTCTCAGGGTATGTACTGTTCTTACAGTTCTTCATATACTAAAGCTGAGGTTACATTTTACTCATGAAACAAATAAGTACAGGGATATTTATTAAATTATGTCTAAGGTCACCTTGTAAATTCACACCAGAGAGCATATGAGATCATTCTCTACTAGAAGAGTTTGAGTATATGGAGCACTGCAATGTCTGGTTAGTGCTTTCTATAGGCCAGATGCTGTGCGTGGGCATTAAACTAAAGAAGAGCAAGAAATGGCCTTTGTCTTAAAGAAGGTCGTAATCTATTGTTCTAATAGACACAGTTGCCCTGTATAATGTGGTGAGTGCTCTGGGAAGCATGTAATTCAGCTTATGGGCATTGAAGAAGTCTCTTAGCGGAAGAATGATGAAGTGCTAAAGAATAAGGAAAGCAGGTTTTAGGATGAGACACCTTCACATTGTCACCTTCCATGTTCCCAGGCAGTGTACTAAGCTCTTCTGTCGATTTAGTTTACGTAATCATAAGGGAACAGAATGTTCAAAGTTGCAGAGTTTCAGAAGGACTCAGCATTTGGAGGAAAGAGTGAGGCGTTTACTGGGTGTTTGTAGTACGGGAATGGCTGGAAGACAGGGTTGGAGAGGTAGCTTAGTAGCTTCCATGGAGTGTCCACCTTTTACAGGCGACTTGGGATGGATTTTTTAAATAATTTGTCAATAGGATTTAAGGATGTATGAAGTGGTTTGCTAGCACTCATTTTGTAGATTTGAAAGGGGCCTTTTATTAATTATGAGCCCCTATTCTGTGGATAATAAACTGAGTACTAATGTGAAGTGGTTTGCTTCCTGTTATAGAAATAGTTAATGGCAAATCAAAGCTAGAGCCCTGTTTTGACTTTCCAAGCTGCTGTTCTTTCCAGAGAGGACATTATGGGAGTGGTTATTATGGCCATGCTGCTTTGTAGTGCCATTGTTTTTGACTTTTTTTTTTTATAAGTAAACATGCTTTCTCTTCTTTTTTGGGGATTAGAGAAAAATTTTGGAGAATCGGAAGCAAGGAAAGAGAGGGAGAATACGGAGCTTGTTTCTTCCCTGGAAGATGTTCCTCAGGCCAGCAACCCCTAATATATTGTGCTCGCCCAGGCTCCAGGATGTGGGAAGTGAACTTTGATGGGGAAGTTATAAGTACACATCAGTTTAAGAAACTCCTCTCGTCACCACCTCTCCCTGTGATTACTCTAAGGTAATGATTTGTATGGCTGGTAGGGACAATTTAAGGAATTTAATTGCAGGAGTTGTGTTGAAATCTCGTATATTCTAGATGAGTTAAAGATTTTACTATGCCTTCTGAGAGTGAAGTGGAATTTTTATTAAAGACTTAGAGAAACCAAAAAGTCTTTAACCACTTATCTTTGGTATGATTAAAGTAGATTGAACAAAGGCAGATGAGTTAGATGCAGCAAAACTTTTCCTATGTAGGGAACAGCATACCATTATGTTGTGATTCAATCATTAACAGACCGTTTACTTCCTAGATCAGATCCTCAGTATGATCATACAGTTGGATCCTCCCAATCTTTGTCTTTCCCCAGACTCTTGCATGTTAGGTAAGTTTTTCCGTTTGATCTTTCAGAAAAAAAAACAAAAGCAAAAACAAAAACCACTTTTTCTCTTTGCTTCTTGTTCACAGGCAGTTAGCTTTTTAATTTAAGATTTTATTTATTTGAGAGAGCGAGAGAGAGAGCACAAGCCAGGAGTGAGGCAGGGGGAGAAGCAGACTCCCCGCTGAGCAGGGAATCTGATGCGGGACTCAGTCCTAGGACCCCGGGCTCATGACCTGAGCCAAAGGCAGACACTTAACCAACTGAGCCACCTGGGTGCCCTGGCAGTTAGCTTTGTTTTTGTTTTTTAAAGATTTTATTTATTTGACAGACACAGCCAGAGAGGGAACACGAGCAAGGGGGAGTGGGAGAGGGAGAAGCAGGCTTCCCATGGAGCAGGGAGCCTGATGTGGGGCTCGATCCCAGGACCCTGGGATCATGACCTGAGCCGAAGGCAGATGCTTAATGACTGAGCCACCCAGGCGCACTCCCGGCAGTTAGCTTTTTAAAAGGTTTTTGTACTAAACTGTTTTTGGAAAATTAGGAGATGCCTATGTTACATGAAGTGTTATAAGAGGAATAAAAAGATCATAGAAATATGCTGCTTTTTTTTGGTTTCAAATTGACCTCAACCAATTGGACAGTCTGTAATTGTCAGGGACATTCTGATAATTAGAGCTAAGAACTGTCGGTACTGTTTCTCTCATAATCTCCCCTGCCTGGTGGGAGGTTACAGTGAAAGTAAGTCTCAGACTGAAGTCAGCCACACATGTGTATGTCAGAAACCTAACTGTAGAACTTTTCCTTGTAAGCTTGGTAAGCTTTCAACTCTGTGTCCTTTAGGTGCTCTGACAAGTACCTTGCATGAAAGATCTGCTTGAGGCACATATTCTAACCATATTCTAACATTTTTTTAGACGGGGAGAGCACAGAGGGCGAGTGAGAGGGAGAAGCAGACTCCCTGCTGAGCAGAGAGCCGGATGCGGGGCTCGATCCCAGGACCTTGAGATCATGACTTGAGCTGAAGGCAGATGCTTAACTGACTGAGCCACCCAGGCGCCCCACATTCAGCCATATTCTAACATCAGGGTTCGGCTAGCCTTCCAGTTGGATTAGGTGCAAAAGTCCACTATTAAGTGGCAGCACAGAGTGCCACTAAAGGCTGGGTTTGCCGATTCTTATATCTTGTTCTACACGTGTGGTAGTGCCGGTGTATGATTTCCAGCCAATCTCTGTATCTTGAACTTATTTCATCAGTGGATATTACTTCTAATATCCCTTAGACTAATGTATAAGATCTCTAAAGCAGATTCAGAGAATGTTATTTTAGAGGTTGTTTTAGGATAGTCTGATTGGATTCTTTCATCAAAGGCTAACTGCTCTTAGAATGTGATTTAAAAAAAAAAGTCTTGAAATGTTAACTAATTGCCCCTAATGTATATATATGTCACACTGCCTACACTGACGTATTTAAAATTAAATTGTAGACAATTTAACATATTCCTAATTCGCTCCGAAAATGACTGAGAAAAGATGACTATTTGCTCATAATTAGATAAAGCATATTAAAAACTCTTGCTTTATGGCACGTATTATGATTTATAATTACATATTCATACAACATTTATGTCTGTCTTACTCTTAGACAGTTGCATAAGGGCTTTGTGTCTGTTTTGTTCCTTACATTATTCTCAGCACTTGGCATAGTGTCTGGCACAGGATAGACACTTGCTGACTGTGGTTTGATTTGCGAGGAAGCCCTTTACCCAAGAGTGTGTTTTCTAATGGCAAGGCCACAGTCGGCTTGGTTCTCCTGGTAGAGTTATTCCTTTGAGTTAAGCTATTTAAAGCTCCTGTTACAGTTTCTGCCATAGCCTACAAAGCCCTTGATGATCTGGGTCTGCCTACTCTGCAGCTTAGGTAATAATTAATGCCAGTTTGAAGCCTGTGCTGACTCCTCCAGCAGGATCAGATTAGATACTTACTCCCAGGCGCTATTGTCACATCTTGTTCATTCCTCTGTCACCACCCCTCTTTCACTGTACCATGAATATCCAAGCCAGCACCAGATTGTCAGCTCCTTTGCTATGGGCTCGGTCTTAGGCACACAGAAGGCTCTCAAGTAATAGCTCAGTTAAACAATTCAATAAAGTTTTTTTTTTTTAAACATGAGTAGGAGGGCTTTTGTTTGTTTACTTTTTTCCCCACCTATATGCTTGTGTCCAATGGTAACCTTTACTGTTACACCCACAAATCCCAAAGGAAGCAAATTTATTTACTTTGTTTTCTTTTGGGCAAACAGTATCGCTTTCCCTTCCTTGACTTTTATTTTATTATTTTTTTAAGATTTTATTTATTTGAGAGAGAGAGATAGCGAGAGCAGGAACACAAGCAGGGGGAGTGGGAGAGGGAGAAGCAGGCTTCCCGAGGAGCAGGGAGCCCGATGCGGGGCTCGATCCCAGGACCTTGGGATCATGACCTGAGCCGAAGGCAGACGCTTAATGACTGAGCCACCCAGGTGCTCCTCCTTTCCTTGACTTTTAAAGCAGTGCTCTTAGGCTGTGTCCTAGTCTGTTTATTATCAATGAAAGTACAAGGGGATGAGGGATGTATAAATTACGAAGTATGAGCTCACAGAAGCCCCCCTCCTAAGATTTCCTAAGGAATCTTTCCAAGCTGAGTATCAAGTTTAGTGTCAAAATCATGATCTTGTATCTCTACTCAGGGATCCTCTGGCTTCTTATTTTTATCTTCTTTGGCTCCTGAACGTAGCCTTCTAGTTTTTCTTCCTTCAGATTAGCATTCTGACCAGTTCTTCCATCTTTGTGTCAAAGATTATTTTCTCATAGGGACAGTGACCTTGTTTTACATTGGCAAAATGTTTAATATTTGTGTGAGGACCTAGTTCCGTTTAAATATCACTCCTAGTGTTTCATAGCCATATAGTACCATTTTTAGTATTCTTGGGGGTATAAATAAAAAAAAGTCCCTATTTTGTTGTTGTTGTTGTTTATTAGAGAGTGCATGCGTGCACACGTTGGGAGGAGGGGCAGAGGGAGAGGGAGAGAGAAGCTCAAGTTAGACCCCCAGCTGAGCATGGAGGCTGACACAGGGCTCGATCTCATGACCCTGAGATCACTACCTGAGCCAAAATCAAGAGTCAAACGCTTAACCAGCTAAGCCACCCAGGTGCCCCAGTGTTGTTTTTTTGTTGGAGAGATGTGGTGTTTCTACAAAAAGTTTAACAATAATAAAAAATAAGGGTTGCAACAGTGCAGTACGTGACTAAGTGCCATATGAACAGGGTTGACAGGAAATAGGGTGAGTGCAGAAGGAAGAGCAGTTGCTGTGGGCTCTTGGAGGATTCTCAGAGGATTCCAGAGGGGAGTAACACTTCTGTGATCCTTGGGAGGTGGCTAGAGTGAGAGCATTATAAGCTGGGATGCCCTGACTGAGGGGAAGAAGCAGAGATGACCCATTGGTATATGAGAAATAGTAGCAGCCTTGAGAGAGTATATGAGTAAATATAAGCTGAGGAGTATGGAAACAGCTGAGCAGAGATGGAGAGTACCAGAGGACTGGAAAAGGTGGCCCAGGAAAGTGCAGTGTCCCAGAGTCCGGGGAGGTGAGATTCAGGAAGGAAGGAACAATCAGGAGGGTTGGCCCCTGCTTGAGCAGCAAGAATAAAGGAAATAAGGAAGGGTTATTTGGTTTGGCACTTAAAAAATCTATGACTTTATGGAAATGCAGTATGTGGAATAGTCAGGGTTCTGGGTAATAGTTGGTGGGTGGGTCAGTGAGGGTAAATGAGGGAAGAAGTAGATTCTGTAAGGTGTAGAGTAAAATTTAGTCCACGTGTTGGAGTGAGACTTTCCTTGGGTGTATTATTTCATCTGAGTTTCAGGGGTTTTTGTTTTTGTTTTTATAAAACAGGGAAAAGCACACCTATCTTGATGAGTTGCCACAAGGTTAGATAATATAGAAAGAACCTTTGATAAAGATCCTGGCAGATAGTTGACCAGGAGTTTACAGTCTTTTATTGCCTGCACACAACTAAGGGCATCAAAATAGTACCATCCCTAAATGCGGCTCACTAGAGTGATTTGTGGTGGGGTATGTATAGTCTATTTTATTTTATTTTATTTTATTTTATTTATTTATTTATTTTAAGATTTTATTTATTTACTTGAGAGAGAGAATGAGACAGAGAGAGAGAGCACGAGATGGGGGAGGGTCAGAGGGAGAAGCAGGCTCCCCGCCGAGCAGGGAGCCCGATGTGGGACTCGATCCTGGGACTCCAGGATCATGACCTGAGCTGAAGGCAGTCGCTTAACCAACTGAGCCACCCAGGCGCCCTGTATAGTCTATTTTAAATGTGCCCTCTTCGTACCAGTGATGGGAAGTTTAGCTGCTTTCACAAACATTAGATACAATACCAGCCTTTCCTTTTTTTAGAAGGTTTTTAGTGTATGTACCTAAATTTTTCCCAGTTTGGCACCATATTATGCTATTTTTTAAGGGGCTCTTGTTACAGACCTAAAAGAGGTGTTAGGACTTGATTAACTGGATCACTGTTGTATTTTCTTTGTACAATCTCAATTTAATAGCTGACGTGAGGGTCTGAATTCAGGGAATTAGATCATAAACTTCTGTATCCACGCAAACTAGAATTCTCTTAACTTCTTCCCTTTTCTTTTGTAGCGAGCACTGTGTGCTGACTTGGACAGAAAGAGGAATTTATATTTTCATTCCTCAGAATGTTCAAGTTCTTCTTTGGAGTGAAGTCAAAGGTAATTATATTTTTCTTCTTTATGTAATTTTTTTTATTTTTAAGGATTTTATTTACTTATTTCAGAGAGAGAGCGAGAAAGCATGAGCAGGGTGAGGGGCAGAGGGAAAGGGCTCCCTGCTCCGATGCGGGGAACTCCGGGATCATGACCTGAGCCAAAGGCAGATGCTTAACCGACGGAGCCACCCAGGTGTCCCCTTCCTTGTAATTTTTAATCTCATGCTTGTGAAAGATTCAGTTATCGTAGGAGAATTCTTTTGCAGTGTGAAAAGTAGAAAAATAGACTGAGGTGGCGTTTCTTTTAAAGATTAATGTTGGGCGCCTGGGTGGCTCAGTCAGTTAAGCATCTACCTTCGGCTCAGGTCATGATCCCAGAGTCCCGGGAGTGAGCCCCACATCGGACTCCCTGCACAGCAGGGTTCTGCTTCTCCCTCTACCCCTCACCCTGCTCGGGCACTCTCTCTTTCTCACTTGCTCTCTCTCTCTCAAATAAATAAAAATCTTAAAAAAAATAAAGATTAACGTCCTAGATGTTTCCCATTGTAATGTATTTCCCAAGCATACACTTGTGAATTTGTGTTCAGTTACTCAGTTTTTCATGGATAATATTATTTTTTATTTTTTATTTTTTAAGTAGGCTCCATGCACAGAACCCAACACGGGGGGCTTGAACTCAGAATCCTGAGATCAAGACCTGGGCTGAAGAGTCAGTTGCTTAAGCGACTGAGCCTCCCCTTGGTGCCCCTTCATGGATAATTTTAAATACAATTTTCACTTATTCTTAAATATTAGTAACCACTGCTAAAGATTGAATGGGTTAATTTTTTCCTTCTATTTACCCTGAATCTTTATCCCCGTTATAAGTCTTGCTTTAGCTTCCGTTTTGTGTCTTAATAGTTTGAGGTTCAAGAAGACCTTGTAGGGGTGCACCTGGGTGGCTCAGTCGGTTAAGCGTCTGCCTTCTGCTCAGGTCCTGATCCCAGGGTTCTGGGATCGAGCCCCGCATCGGGCTCCTTGCTCAGCGGGGAGTTTGCTTCTCCCTCTCCCTCTGCCTGCGGCTCCCCCTGCTTGTGCTCTCTCTCTGTCAAATAAATAAAATCTTTAAAAAAAAAGTCCTTTTGGGAACAGCATTTTACATAACTGAGGCAGAGAAAATCTCTGGTTTTTTTAGTTTAAACCAAAATGAAAGAAATCTTTCATCATTAGCATTGCTAACTCAGAGAATATATCTTACCCTTTTGGGTCATTTTCTACATTGTAGAAATGTAAGAAAGAGGAACCATTACTTACTGATCTGATTAATACTGATTTCTTGTGGACTAAGTTGCTAAGGTTGTCCCTTGAAAACAAGTTTGTTTTTTAAAAATTGACATATATAGTGTATGAGTTTAAAGTATACAAAGGATTGATTTGATACAGTTATATAGTTAACCCTTGAACAACATGGGGACTTAGGGCCATAGACCCCTGCACAGTCGAAAACCTGCATGTAACTTTTGACTCCCCCAAAACTTAACTACTAATAGTCTGCTGTTGACCTTGCTATTAACATCCTTTGTATGTTATATGTATTATTTGCTGTATTCTTACAATAAAGTAAGCTAGAGAACATTATTAAGAAAATCATAGGAAAGAGAAAATACATTTACTACACTGTATCAATTGAAAAAAATTTGCATATCCATGGACCCATGCCATTCAAACCCAGGCTGTTCAAGGGTCAGCTATATATTGCAATATGATTACTGTCTTTTGTGATGAGAACTTTTAAGATCTAGTCTCTTAGCAACTTTGCATTATGTGATACAGTATTGTTAACTGTAATCACGATGCTGTGCATTAGATCTCTAGCTTATTTGTCTTCTAATTGCAAGTGTGTACCCATTGACCAATATCCCCCACCCCTCTAGTCCCTGGTTTCCACCATTCTACTCTGCTTCTGCTTGTTTGGCTTTTTTAGATTGTACCTATAAGTGAGATCAAAAACTAATCTTTTAAGTCCTTTCATGATGTTCTGCCAAGATAGGTATTTTCTCATGAACTCTCAATTTACATACTATGTTAAAATCCATTCATTGACATCAGATTGTAACTCTCAGAAATGTTGTCATCTCGTCTCTAATGTAGAGTGCTCTTTTAAAGCCCCAATTTCTTTTCACAGAAAGTAGCATTTTATTTTACTATTACTATTTTTAATTCCAGTATAGTTAACATTACAGTATAATATTAGTTTCAGATGTACAGTATAGTGATTCAACAATTTTATACATCACCATGTGCTCACCACAACAAGTGCACTCAATCCCCATCACCTATTTCACCCATTCCCCCACCAACCTCCCCTCTGGTGACCATCAGTTTGTTCTCTGTAGTTAAGAGTCTGTTTCTTGGTTTGTCTCTCTCTTTCCTTTGCTCATTTGTTTTGTTTAGAAAGTAGCATTTTTTTTTAAAGATTTTATTTATTTGAGAACGAGAGAGCAAGAGAGAGAGCACAAGCAGGGTGAGGGGCAGAGGGAGGAGCGGGCTCCCTGCTCAGACACTTAACCAACTGAGCCACCCAGGTGCCCCAGAAAGTAGCCTTTTTAAACATAGAATTTTAGATTAGAGAGATGTGGTTTTGTCTCTCTTTTATTTTTGATCTTTTTAGAAGTGTCTAAAATATGATTTCTTCATTGAACTGCAAGTATAATAGAGATGAAATTCGGGCAAGCCAAACTCAATATAAAAAGTGAATTTATTAGAATAATTTCAGTCCTTACCAACATGGAAAAAGAGTATTTGGTTAACCTTCTGTGTGTTCACCCCTGTGGGTTTTGTAGATATTCAGGATGTGGCTGTCTGCAAGAATGAGCTGTTCTGTTTGCACCTAAACGGGAAAGTCTCACATCTTTCTCTGTTGTCTGTGGAACGCTGTGTGGAACGCCTGCTGAGGAGAGGCCTGTGGAACCTGGCTGCTCGCACTTGCTGTCTTTTCCAAAACTCTATTATCGCCAGCAGAGTGAGTCAGAGAGCTTACATGTTCACCCGGGCTGTTAGAACCACCCTAGCTTGTGGAAGTGTGTTACAAAGTTTCTTGTCTTTATTAGCCCTGTCTGTATGACCTACAGATAAAGCAGCAATAAATCCCTAAAGGAAGTATGACCGACAAATCTAGGAGTGGGTGGAGGGTAAGAAAAAGGGTATACTTCCCATTTTAAAAAAAATTACATTTTCTCGGAAACTTACTTGAATTTCAGGCCTTATTTTAAGTGGGATGATGGTGTATATGGTAACTCTTCATTCCTAAAATCATTCTCATTAAGTCTTTCACTAGCTTATTAAACCTCTTTAAAGCACCTTTGAGGTTTTATCTTCTCTGTTAAACCTCTTTCAGTATATTGGCCACTGAATTTACATTTAGTTATAAATAGTAAGCTATTCTATTTGGTTTCTACTTAATCCTGTCATTAGGGAAGAAAATCTTTGACTGTGGATAAATTGGAGCATTTGAAGTCTCAGCTGGATGTTGCAACCTATAATGATCTAATTACTCAACTGGAAGAATTGATCTTAAAATTTGAACCTTTGGATTCAGCTTGCAGCAGTAGAAGAAGCTCCATTTCGTCACATGTAGGTATTTTTACTTTTTAAAGGGTTCATCTGCACAGTACGGTTTTTCTTCCTTAGGTTGTACTCACATATCTCTTAAGGTCCCAAAGTTTACCTTCCTTTCCATATAGTAGATTTGGGGTGGGGGAGGGGAGTTGCCAAGAGGAGGCTTTCTTTCAGCTGTTGGGCAGCCCTCACGAAGCCTCCATTTAGGTGTGTCTTGGGGCCACATTTTGTTTCATCGTTTATTGTATTGTGTTTCCAGATGTACCTCGTACAGCGTGCAGCTCAAGTTAAGTTGCTCCTAATTCGTGATTTCGGATGCTTCATGCTAGTTAGAGTCATAGTGCAGCTCAGGATTGTCTCCTTGCAGCCCCATTCTCACTGCCAGGACTCACGGAGGCAAGCTAGGGAAAGACGGGAGCGGGCTGTCATCAGTCCGTGAGTGTGAGCCAGCTGCCAGGGACCTAAACCTTGTTAAACCGTAGTTGTTGTTACTGACTTGCTCCTTACTCGTGTTGGTTGTTCTCTTAAAAAAATTTTTTTTGTGTTACAAAGGGAAGTTTCACTTTGATTTTTGGGGGATCTTTTTTATTTTTAGGAAAGTTTCAGCATCTTGGACTCTGGTATTTATCGGATCATTAGTAGTAGAAGAGGCAGTCAGTCAGATGAAGACTCTTGTTCCCTTCATAGTCAGACCCTCTCAGAAGATGAGAGACTCAAAGAATTTGCCTCACCTCAAGAAGAGGACCAACCAGATCAGTGTTGGAGCTCACACGGAAATGAAGGTGATGGTGGTGTGCTTTGTTGGTTGCTGGTAGGAAGCAGTTATTTTCCGTGACTTCTATTTGCCAGGATTAACTTGTGCATTGAGTTTTCTGTGTGGTGTTAATAATCTTTTTTATGTTGATAGACTTTCCACTCAGACCTGTAGATCTGCTTGCCACTGGAAGAATGGGTTTATGTTTAGTTCTGTTTTTCACCCTCCTGTTTAGGCTGACATTGATACAGTCCCTAATTACGGTCATGCATCAGAGTGCTGGGAAAGTTAAGAAAGGAGGTCATTAACCAGTGAAGTAGAACAATTTTATCTTGACTAACCAAATTATTTTCCATCAGGAATGAAAAATTACTACAGTTTTGGGGGCCATTGCCTTCACTTTTCGATGTTCGAGTATTCCTGTGATGAACTGTTGAGAAGAGATTAATAGAGACTCTAAACCTTCTTTTTGACTTATGGGGATTCAGGGTTAGTAGGAAAATGAAGGTACCTGCCTAAGTGTTTTATATGTGGGCCATCCCGTGCATCTTGTAAACCTGTGTTCTGCTCATTTGTATCTGGGTCAGTTGTGATTTTGGTATGGAACCCTTCATTTCCTTTGGTTTATTCATTTCAGAATTTTTTTTAAAGATTAAAAAAACCCTGTGCGATTAAATTTTCTTTTCTCTTCGATTCCATTCATCAGACAGAGGTTCTCATGTTCCTGTGACATTTGAGACAGATAAGAATGAAACTTTTCTCCCCTTCGGCATCCCGCTATCATTTCGTTCTCCATCTCCTCTTGTGTCTCTTCAGGCTGTCAAGGAAAGGTAAATTAGTCTTGTCACTGAATCCTGTTTCTTGTTTCACTTCACTTCACACTTTCTTGTTTCACTTAGGTACTTTTGTGCTGAGAATGGAAAGACATTTATTTAGTTAATTTATTTTTAAAAAGATTTTTATTTGGGACGCCTGGGTGGCTCAGTCGGTTAAGCGGCTGCCTTCGGCTCAGGTCATGATCCCAGGGTCCTGGGATCGAGTCCCACATTGGGCTCCTTGCTCGGCGGGAAGCCTGCTTCTCACTCTGCCTGCCTCTCCCCCTGCTTGTGTTCTGTTTCTCTGACAAATAAATAAATAAAATCTTAAAAAAAAATAAAAAAAAAATAAAAAATAATAAAAAGATTTTTATTTATCTGAGAGAGAGAATGCATGCGAGTGAGAGAGAGCACGGGTGGGGGCGGGGAGGGGCAGTGCAGGGGGAGGGGCAGAGGGAGAGGGAGAAGCAGACTCCCCGCTGAGCAGGGAGCCTGATGCCATGGAGCTCCATCCCAGGACCCCAGGATCATGACCCAAGCCAAAGGCAGATGCTTAACTGACTGAGCCACCCAGGTGCCCCTGGAAAGACATTTTAAATGAGAAAAAATGGAAGCCTCTAGGTTATTTTTCATATAACCTGTTACCTGAGGCTATTAACTTCTCATTTCCATCTTGGGCAATTTAGCTTCCCTCTTTGAGTAGTTGGATATTTGAGTTGTTTTAGAATGTGCCCTCCACCCCAGACAGAGCAAAAGTTTGAAAAATCTGTTTTTCCCTCATCCCTGATAGGAACAGTTTCTATATATCATTAGTCTTTTCTTGATCCTTTCTCAGTTTGGGCTCAGAATTGGAGACTCTTCAGAATTGGCATTCGAGTTTGAGAGAAAAGATTTTGTAAAGCTACTTAACTGCTTATCTAAGTCTTCCTGGATACAGTTTTATGGGTCTTTGTTTTGTTTTTTGTTTTTATTTTAATTCCAGTATAATTAACATAGAGTGTTACATTAGTTTCAGATGTACAATACAGTGATTCAATTACCGGATGCAGTTTTGCTTATAAAGGAAGATATATTGTTCCTAGTTAGCCACTGAGTTTCATGGAGAAATTCTGCTATTTCTCTGGCCAGGATGGGGCAGGTGATCACATGGCCTCCTTTGCCTAAGTTGACAGAAACATTGTAGACATAGCTGGAGTTAAAGACTTTTTCTTTAGCGCTGAATCAAAGCAGTTTAGTAAATGAAGTGAATCCTTATTATACTGTAAATTTTACGTGGGCCTTATATGAAATATATAGTTGATTAGGGAAGTTGCTATAAGCATAGTCTTTCTATTCAGTCCGAGTTGCCTTTGTAGGACTAACAGGAACATAGAGAACTCAGGTACTGAATTTTTCGTTCTTGGGAGTAACGAAGTTTTTTTTGTATTTTTTGGTATTTGACTTCCAGTGTTTCTAGCTTTGTGCGTAAAACTACTGAGAAGATTGGCACCCTTCATACAAGCCCTGATCTGAAAATAAGACCGGAACCCAGGGGTGATGAGCAGTTCTGTGAAGACGAGATGAGTCCAGTCACCTGCCCGAAGGAACAAGACACTGAGTAAGCTCTTGCATATAAATCTGGGTAAATACTAGAGGACTCAGCTGGCATTTTGAAGAAAGCCTTAGACTCTGTGCTATTGGAGAAGGCACATGTATGACCCTGTTCATTGTAGATTGTGTAGCTCATAAAAAATGTGAATACCATAAAGTAAGTTTTGGAAAATGACATCTATCCATAGCAAATCTTTTGAGAGAGAGTTTTAATAATTTAGCACCTTTTTCATCTTTACATACCTTTCCTCTCCTCTAAATCTCTTCAAACTTCTGGGATGTTAGAGAAGAGTATTAGATAAGAGTAGGATGACCAATGATTGAGGCCCTGTCCTTGCTGTGCTTCTGACTGACATGTGGCCTTGGGTAAGTCACTAATGCTCTCTGGCCTGTAAGATGAGAGCATTGGCATTGAGGTCTTGCCAAGTACCTTCTTAACGATATGCTGGTGGCATCGTCCTTGAGTAGTGGAGTGGTGGCAGAGCCCTTGGTCTGGCATAGTGTGAAGTGTCTGTCCACCTGGTCTCTGCCCTAACTCACAGTTCAGGGGATCTGAGCATTAGAAGCATGCAAGCTCAGCACTAGCCCAGGGATTGAGAGCCCCACAAGCCCAGTGTATGTGGACAGTCGGATGAAATAGAATAGTTTCGTGAATCCATGTATCTATAGGACCAAAAAAAAAAAAGTACAGGTATTGCTGTGGCATTGAAGGCAGCCCTCAGTCTGACTGAGCCCCCCTTTCCAGCCACATCCTTCCAAGCGCTCTAAATTCCACTCCAGTGAAGTGGGTACACTTCACTACCTTTCTTTATGTTGTTTCTTTCACCTGCACTATTCCCCCCACCCACCTCCCCCTTTTTTCCTAACACATGTACTGCCTCCAGGGGAAGGCATCCCTTGATTGCCTCATCAGAATAATTATTCCTTCTTTTTTTTTTTTTTAACATTTTATTTATTTTTTGACAGGGAGACAGTGAAAGAGGGAACACAAGCAGGGGGAGTGGGAGAGGGAGAAGCAGGCTTTCCACGGAGCAGGGAGCCTGATGTGGGGCTGGATCCCAGGACCCTGAGATCATGACCTGAGCCAAAGGCAGACACTTAATGACTGAGTCATCCAGGCGCCCCAGAATAATTATTCCTTTTCCTGTGCTTTCATAGCACAGTGCTTGTGTTGCTCTTTAGCATTTGTTTTATTCTCATTTATGTTATAGTTAGTTGTTTGCATACCTTTCTTTCTCACTTGAGTTTACTCATCTTGAGGCTGTGGACCATTTTTTGTACTCCTCTGTTTGTGTCATGTAATATTAAGTACAATACTTGCCACTTAGTAAGCACATAGAAACATTTGTCTAAGGACGCTCTAATCCCCTTTAACTCTCTTCACACTTTTCTAGGGGCAAAAGAGAAGTAATTAGTCAACCTCCAGAAGAAGACAAGCTCCAAGAGCTCAAAGAAGCGACAGCAGAAGCAATGTGAGTATTTATGAACGAGAGAGTTTTATAGTGAATGGGAATGACTTTGAGGTCATCGGTAGTGGTCCTGAGACTTGGGGGGGGCAGAGGTAGTCTCATTTGTAATTGAAATTCAGCAATTAGTATTAAAGTTAACACTCTGTATTTTCATCTTGCTGAGATAATTGTTGAAGAGTTGAAAAGTAACATTTATTCCCAAGAAGTATGTTTTATCCAGTAGGTTTGTTTAGCATGAAATAATTTGTTTTAAAAAAACACATGGAGCATAAATTGCATTATTTGTCTGTTTTGTGTAGGACCAAGCTACAGAACCCACTGGTTTTGTTTGAACCCACGTCTCTGAGGATGGTCTTACATGAGTGGCTTTCACAGTTAGAAAAAACGTTTGCCGTGAAGGACTTTTCAGGTATTTCAGATACTGGCAACTCATCCACAACATCAAACCAGGATGTGCTATTGTTTGACCAGTCAAAAAAGGAAATACTAGATGAAGATAATGAAAAAAGAGAGTCTTTAGGCAGTGAAGAACCTGTTGATCCAACAGCATGTGAATCTACAAATAGTCTGAGGGAGCCCCTGGATGACATTTTCCAAATGTGTTCTCCGTGCAGCATAGCTAACAGTCTTCAGAAGGACCTGGCTGAATTGACAACATTGTGTTTGGAATTGAATGTATTGAATTCTGAGACCAAAAGCACAAGTGGACATGTGGACCACACTTTGAAACAGTACTCTCCTGAAATTCTGGCTTGCCAGTTCATAAAGAAGTACTTTTTTCTCTTGGACTTGAAAAGAGCAAAGGAGAGTATCAAGCTTGGTTACGCCTGCAGTCCTTGTGTTTGGGATACTTTTATTGAAGGATTGACAGGTAATAATCAGATTGCCTTATCAAATAGAAATTAGTGTAGAGAACAATAGCATCTTAGCATTTTCACATTTAAAGAAAAAGACTTAAGTACAAAATCGCTTCTATTCTGGGCAACCTCCATTCCGTTTCCCCCTCAGTTTCTTAATTTTTAATACTTCTTCAAACATTGGTTTCATTTGCAATGGTATTATAAGAAATTCATTTTATTTCTCTCACAGTCATACTCAGAAAATGTATACAGCAATGTTGGAGAAGTTGGGGTTAAAGTAAAACGTTCTATAAATGCAGATATATAAAAACAAGAAAATCCTTTATGTAATGTACTAACGCTGAGATAATCTATGCCATTTATTGAGTACTTACTGTGCGTCAGATATCATGCTAAACACTTCATAGGCATCATCTCATTTCTTCCTTACAAGTGTCTTCAGAGTAGGTGGTGTTATTCCATTTAATGGGTGAAGAAACTGAGGCACAGAGAGATTGTAATAGTTGAGTGGGCTAAACTGCTGTAGTAAATATCTCCTAATAACTCGGATACAATAGAAGTTCATTTCTTGCTCCTGTTACTCCAGGACAGGTTCCAGGTCAGTGGGAAGCTCTCTTCCATGTGGTAATCCAGGGTTCCAAGTTTCTTCCATTTCCTTGAACTCCATCTTCCTGTGGGCTTGTGATTGAGAATGGATTGCTGTGTCCAGGGGAATGCATGTGGAAGGGGCAAACATGCTATGCCCTCTTAGGGGCCTGACCTTGTAATGCCTGACATCTCTCCTGTTCATGTTCCATTGGTGAGAATTTTATCACATGGTCTCCTTACCTGTGAAAGAGACTGGGAAATGTAAGCTATCCAGGTGTCTAGAAGGAAGGGAATGGTACGGGTGAAGAGCTTGCATGTCTCAGGGATTTTGGTGGATTAACAGCAGTCTCCATTTCACACGTGACCGAAAGTGTGTGTCATCCTCCTGTGGAAACCGGCTCTCATACTTCAGACCATGCATGCTTTTTCCACTGTATAGACCCGTTTTTGAATAATTGATTTACCAAAAGTTAACAATCACAAGTACAGATACATTTTTATATTGTCTGACTTAAAGATCTTCAAGTTTTCTAGAAACATGATCTGTAGTTATTGTTCTGCTTCAGTTCACATTTAGCAGTTAAAAGCATAAGAAATGATTTCAGTCTTTCTCTGAGTTCAGGTAGACTGTCTTTTACATGAAATAAGAAAATTTATTTCTCCTCCAGTAGGTTCACATTATTATGTTTCACATTATTACTTTTTTTTTTTTCACGTTGTTACTTACTGGAACTTTGCAATATCTGTCTCTTATGCGATCACACCCAACCCTGAAAAGAGTCTGATCAGCCTGAGTGGTTGTTAACTTATAACCAGAGCTGGCTAGAGCCAGTGGGTTGGGTACTTTGAGATGATGCAGCTGCTTGCTTGAATTTAGGGGGAGATGTTTGGCTTAGCCCCCACCCAGTTATAAAGCTTGCCCTCACATCTCCAGCTGTAAATGATGGTTGCCTTCTCTGAATTTGTTCAAGTACTTACTGCCTGACACAATCAAATAGGCGCAATAATGAAACTGGGGAAAAATGATTTTTAAAAACCATGTATCAGAAATGCAAGGTTGGGTTTTTAGAAATGATCTGAACAGGTTCCACCTTTTTGCTAATGATGTGGTTAAGGAAAACAGCTTTTGGAACTGTTCTTGGGGAATGGTCTTCAGAGCCGGTTGAAAACTACTTCAAAAAGCTCATTTTAGGGGCTCCTGGCTGGCTCAGTCGGTGGAACATGCAACTCTTGATCTCTGGATTGTAGGTTTGAGCCCCACGTTGGGTGAAGAGATTACTTAAAATCTTAAAAAAAACCTCACTGTAGATTCATGTGTGTGTGTATTATTATATATATATATACTTTAAACTACAAGTAGTTTTAACTAGATCGTCACTCACACTTGGCTGTAACTGATGTTTATTAAAAATAGGTGAAATTTTAACTTTATTTTGTTCAAAAAGATGGGCTAGAGGGCACTGGTTCTAGGAAAAATGACAAATTTCGCCTTGATATATACTGTATATATGTGTGTGTGTATATATATATATATATACACATATACATATATTCTACTGATTTAGTATATAACACATATATTCAAATATATGTTACCTTTTTTGAGGGTGATAGTGGCTTATATATTGGTTATGTGTTCTTCTCTTGTTTAAAAAATTACAATGTGCTTTGCCTCCCAATTTGAGTTTAAGGTCTTTAAAAGTAGGGATTGTGTGTCTGGTTCTTTTTTTTGTCCTTCAATGCTTAAACATTGTGCCATGCACCCAGGAGGTCCATGACTGATGATTGTTGAATGAATGTATACATGAACTGAATATTTATAGCTATGAGATGAAAGGAAAAGGTGTGCTTTATCTTTCAGAAATGGCAAGTTCCAATCCTGCATATATGGAGATGGAAGAAGGAGACTTACCAACAAGATTAAAGTTATTGAATGATTCAGTTCCCCTTGACAATCCTTTGTTGATTGCTTATGCTGCCCGGTAAGTTGTCATATATGTTGTTTATATGAATAAAACGCGTATTTGTTTGTGTCTTAGTCTCTAAGGTTTTATTCAGTTGCCTTGTTATTTTTATTTCTAATAAGTGCTTAGACATGTAACCAAGTTACATCATCTCACTGAAGTTGGGGACTAACTTGTTTTTAAATGCAGATTGTATGAGAAGTTTGGAGAATCTGCCCTTCGGTCCTTAATCAGGTTTTACCCATCTGTTTTGCCTTCGGATGTCATGCAACTTTGTCATCATCATCCTGCTCAGTTTTTGGCCTATTTAGACAGTCTGGTGAAATCGAGGCCTGAAGATCAACGGTGAGAAGGCGAGAACATTTGCAGACTCCCCTTTGTTTTGATAGGGCATTGTTTCCCATTTAGAAGCCATTGTAATGTTTTTACTGCCAACTGCCACCGAGCTGAGGCCCCTACTATGGAAGAGGATGATTACAGTCATTACCCTTCTGTCACAGTCCACAGCACGCACTGTAAATGTGTGCAGACCACATTCTCTTCCCTCCCCCCCCCCAACCCCCCCAGGGATTCTCAGATGATCAGAGTAAAATTAAAGCCCTGCTTCAGGTCCTCCGCTAAGACAGATAAGTTTCCTTGTTGTCTGGGCTGGTGAGTGGATTTATTGCCACCTCCTTGTTGATAGCATCCCAGCTTTTTGTGGGGTCTCATCTTTTTGTGGATCTCAGTTCCAGCTTTGCTGCTTTTTTAGATTGAGGCCTCATTGCCTATTTCTGCATGGCCCTTGGTTGTTGAAACTAGCAACATCCCCCCCCACCACCACCACCTTTTTTCCTCTGATTGATTTACATGTGCCATACTGGCCTCCTTTCTCTCTCTGTCCCTCTTTTTTTGCCCTTTGACATTTCCCTTGTTATCTTGAGCTCACCTGTTCATTTAAAAGGCTGTCAGATTTTCACCTGCATTTCTAGACATCTTGTAGCAGAGCATTTTCATCTACTATTTTGATCCCCTAATAACATTTTCTTCACATTCCCACATTTTAGGTCTCTTTTCTCAGCGTGAAGATTGGTGATTTTGTCTCCAACTTTCTTTTAGGCCATCCTTCCTTGAGTCCCTTCTACAACCAGAGTCTTTGAGATTGGATTGGCTGCTTTGGGCCGTGTCCCACGATGCTCCCCCAAGCACAAGCACGATGGACAATGAAGGAAACCCCAGGTACAGAAGTTCTCTGTCTAAGCTGTGATGTTCTTCTGGAATGAAATGGCTTTATTCACACGTAGCATTCTGGGCTTTCTTCAGGAACAGCTGTGGAAGAGACTGACTCAAGTCACGATAGTAATGAGACTGAGTGTACTTCTTAGTGGTTCTGAACATTTTTTGAGTTACAGATCTTACAAGAATCTGATGATTCCTCTCAGAAAAATGCTTATCCCTGCACAATTTTCCCATGATTTCAGGTTAAACTGACCCCCTGAAGCTCTTTCATGGATCCACATTAAGAGTCCTTGATGATTCAATCTGTATTAGAGGGAGAAAATTGTATGTTTTTTTCCTGGAAAATTTCTAGACATAGCTTGATTTGGGACTAAGAAGAAAAACTATTCATAAAAAAATACGCACTGATACATGTAATGTATTAGAAATGTTCCTTGTGTTTTCCTCTAGGAGAAGCTTTTTAAAAGCCCTCCAAGTGCCTATCTTATATGCCTAGACAAAAGCTCTAGAAGGACATACAATGGCTGTCTGTGAGTGATGAATGAATTATAGGCTTCTTTCCTTTGCTTTTGATTACTTAAAATGTCTATTTTTAAAAAATAAACAGGTAATCGATTTTACTGGAAAAACAGAATTGGCATAAATTAAAATTACATATTTGAATATTGTGATTAATAACCTCAATCAACCAGCAAACTATTCCCAAAACTTTAAGGACATATAAGCAAGCAAGCAAGCACCAAATGTTTACAGAACCACAGAGAAATTTTAAGTACCACCGTAGACTAGTGATAAAGAAGGCCTTTATCCTGTAAAAGGTATTTAGTGCCTTCCACATCATATAAATATAGTTAGCTGCCTATAGCTTTTACATAGAGCTGATCCTGTCCAGGGTTTATGGCAAGAAACTAAAGAGGAATTGTTGCCCAAAATTTGGATGAGTGGAATACAGTGAGAGGAAAAAGTATAACCAGATTTATATTTAACTAGATGAATGTAGTTACAAAACAATTAGGAAATAAAACCTGTCAGTGACAGATGTACATATAAAAATTAAAATAAAAAGTAAAAGTTATTAAAAAATAAACAGGTATTGGGACGCCTGGGTGGTTCAGTCGGTTGGGCATCTGCCTTTGGCTCAGGTCATGATCCCAGGGTCCTGGGATCGAGTCCCGCATCGGGCTCCCTGCTCGGCGGGGAGCCTGCTTCTCCCTCTGCCTGCTCTGCCTGCCCCTTGCCCTGTTTGTGCGTGTGCTCTCTCTCCCTGACAAATAAATAAAGAGCATTAAAAAAAAAATAGAATAAAAAATAAACAGGTATTTGTATAGGAAAAATAGCTATTTTTAATTTTTCAAAAGGCAAGTAGAAATGTTTAAAAATACAAAAGTAATGGAACAAATAAAATTAAACTCTGTTCTTACCTATTAGATGATGAATAAACATTTTGTAGAATGTATTTCCTATTCCATTTACTGAGAGCTTTCCATTTCACAGGCCTCATTCACACTTGTGTTCGTGGGGTTATAGCCAGCTGATGCTTCATCTCATTAAACTACCTGCAGATTTTACAACCAAAGAGAAAATGACTGACATCTGTAAGTCTCATGGGTAAGTGAGAAATTTTTAGAAGCTGAAGTTAAGATTAGAATCATCTTAGTTAATAGCTCTGTAGCAAAGGACTTGAGTTGGTATGCTTTATCATTTGGGAATTCTCTTTACTATGGAAAAGTACCTTTTGTTTTAAGTGATAGTAGAGTAAACATCTTTTTAAATTTTGTGCATATTTTTTCTTTGTGTAGAAGAGACGGCCCTTGCTAATTCCTCTCTCCCCCTGGTCCTTAGTAGCTAGCCCCAGTTCTCAGGCACTGAGGTGGTATTTAATTAAGCACCAGACTGTGTGATAAGTTACAATTGATGCAGGGTTCTCAAGAAGGGAGAGATCAGAATGTGCTCAGTAGAAGTGCTGGTGAAGGACTTCAGGAGGAGGTGAGACTTTGGAGGTGAAAGCCCTGAAGGCTGGACAGGATTTGTATTGATAAAGGAGCCCAAGAGGAGGGCAGGGCAGGCGAGAGAAACATCAGGAGCAGGAGAAACTGACATTGCTTTTTGTCTGGACCACGTATCGGTTCTTTATTGCTTGGCCGTGTTACCTTATGGCTCCACCTGGATTATCATCTTCTGGAGCTAGGGACTTGTGTCTTCCTTTTTCCTCATAATGCCTCAGTTCGTGGTAGGTACTTGATACATATTTGTTCATTGATAATAAGAGATGAGACTAGTCGGGTGTGGTGGGTGATGAGATCATGTAGGACCTTGAAAGCTCATCAGAAGAATTTAGCTATCAGTAGAGACCTTTTAGACTTTGGTACAAAAATGACATGATAAAAATGGAGCTTTCTGGAGATCATTTCTGGTGTCATACATGAGAAAGAAATGGGACATTCTGCAGAAAAATGTAGTGAGACTTAAAGACAACGGGTATAGCAAATGAAGGAGGGCGAAGAGTCAAGGAAAACTTCCATAGTTTGCATATTTGGGGGAGAAATCTGAAAGTTTATAAAGTATTTAAGGTTACATATTTCATAATTGGTGCTTGGCCTCAAATGTCAGTATTTATCTCTAGCTTTTATTCTTTTTTTTCTTAAACACTCCAGATGGGGCTGTCTAATAGAACTGTCTATGATAATGGAAATATTCTACTACATCGTCCAATATGGTAGCCACTAGCCACTTAGGCTATTGAAAGCTTGAAATATGGATTGGTCAGCTGAAGAACTTTTTACTTAATTTAAATTTAAGTAGCCACATGTGGCTAGCATCTACTCTATTGGACAGCACAGCTCCAGATAAATTCACTGTTTTGATTCCTTTCTTCCACTTGGTTCTCTAAATTAAAGTTTCTGGCCTGGATATCTTTCTCTTTGTTTGGAGCTGGAAAGAAGAAGAGAGGCCTTCACCAACATTGTGTGCCTAAATGATATGAGCCTGATGGAAGGGGACAATGGTATGTAAATCCCAACCGGTTACTCTTGGCTGTACTATTTTAGAAGTCACTGCAGACTTTTCAATAAAGAAATTTGGTGAACATTTTGATGATCCTGTATGTAATTCTATAATTCTAGCTAGCTGTCAGATTTGTGGAGGTTTGTTTTTTTGTTGTTGTTTTTTAAGATTTGATTGGAGAGAGAGTGAGTGAGAGAGAGCAGGAGCAAGGGGAGGGGCAGAGGGAGAGCGAGAAGCAGGCTCTCCGCTGAGCAGGGAGCCCGATGCAGGACTCAATCCCAGGACCCTGGGACTATGACCCAAGCCGAAGGCAGACATTTGACCAACTGAGCCACCCAGGCGTCCTAGAGGTTTGTTTTGTTGTTGTTGTTTGTTTGTTTTGTTCGTTTATCTATACCACATAGTATATTATGAAATCATAATAACTTTTCTATTAACGAATGCTTCCTGTGCGTTAGGCACTTTGCTAGGTCCTTTTTTGTTTGCCGTTTAAATGAGATAACAAGCCGTTGGCGTAGTTCCTGTTACTTCTGTTTTACAGAAGTCATAACTGAGGCCTAGAGGAAGGAGAGTCAGTTTCCCCAAAGCCATACCACTGGTGGAGTAGGTGTTCAGACCCAGGTCTGACTCTCTCTAAAGTTTGTGTTCAGATTCTTCTCTCAGCACTAGGCTTTTACACAGCCAAAAGTTAGATATCATCCAAATGAACTTAAAGTGGAGTGGCAGTCAGCTTTTCCTAAGCCTTCACAGGTATTTAGATAATTAAAAAAAAAATTTTTTTTTTAATTTTCATCAATCCAACACAGATAAAATGATAATCAGAAGGCCACGCTTTGACACACTGATATCTGAGGCCTGAGACTCTGTCTTGGCTGTTCTGTAGTGTTGCTTTATTCACCTCAGTGCAAAGATGCCAAGTGCGTGACATCGGGGTCCTTTATTCAGCAGTGTGACCTACAGCCTGTTCAGCCCTGTTGGTGTAGGAGAGGGAAAGTTCGAACAGGGCAGGGAAGCCAATTGACTGGCAAGTGTTAGCTTCTGATGTCCCAACTATTGCAAAAATTACTGAGATCATCTGTTTCAGAAATGAAGAAGAGGGCCAGGTGGTTCTGCCGGACTAGAGCTGTAGACATGGATACGCTCCTGAAAAATAACCAGAATAGTTAAGATAGACATGGCTTATATTTTTCAAGTTACAACACGATGTTTATTGTAATAGATAAACACTGAAAATTCGGGAAGCATAAAGAAAATAAGTATCACTTAAAATCTTTTCTGCCCAGATAGTCTGAATATTTTGGTAAAGTAATAATAGCAGCTGTTCTTACCCTTGGTATATTAAATGGGGGTCTTTTGTAGACACTTCTGTTTCCCCATAACTCATATTAATCACTCTTCAAGGCATGTTGGTTTTATTGCCAAATGTAGATCTCTTATCTGTGTACTTAACTTTTGCTCCACCACCAGCTCCGGTCCTAGCTATTTGCCTAGATGGCTGCAGTAACCTCAGAATTAGTCGTCTGGTTTCCATTCTCTCCCACCTTTAATCCATTTGCCCTATAGCAGCCAGAAGCGTTCTTTTACAAAAATTGGGTGATGTGGCTCTCCTCCTTGAAGCGCCTTACGTGGAATTCAGAATAAAATCCAGTCCTTTATGCACTGTAGGCCTTTCTTTGAGTTCCTTGAATTCAAGTTCTGTCCTGTCTCAAGTGACCTTCCATGTTTCCTTTGTCGGAAATGCAGGCTTCTTCACCTTCCGTTCCTGACACCCTGCCACCTCAAGCTGCCCATATGTGAGCCACAGGCAACGTGCTCTCTAAGCTTGCCTGGTCTTTAAACTCTCTGCTTACCTGTCCCATCCTAATGGAGCCCTTCTCAGATCCTCCCCCAAACCTGCCATTCTCTCTAATGGTTCCCTGATCTTTTTTTTTTTTTTTTAATACTTCATTTATTTATTAGAGAGAGCACAAGCAGGGGGAGTGGCAGGCAGAGGGAGAAGCAGGCTCCCCCCAAGCAAAGAGCCCAATGTGGGACTCGAGACCTGAGCTGAAGGCAGATGCTTAAGGACTGAGCCACCCAGGGACACTGGTTCCCTGATTTTTATCGCACCTAGCCCAGTTTATACGTACAGATTTATTTCTGTGTTTATCTAAGATTCTGCCCCCTTTACTAGACTGTGAGCTCCACAAGAGTGCAGGGCTCATCATGTCTGGTTGGTCCCTCACTGGACCTTGGGTGCCTAACCTAGACTATACCTGGGAAATTCCTGAGTGAGCAAGTGAATGAAGAATTTTGGAACTAATTTTGTGACTTCTCCTTATCATTATTTATTCAGCAAATGTTCAGAAAGCAACTTTGTGTTAGGGTGATGAGGTACGTTCTTAGGTTTTGGTATTAAACGTTTTCACAAGCGGTTTTGACCATCTCCTATACACAGGCAGATTTCTAAGGGCCATTAGAGCCGACGTGTGTGTTTCTGTATGTGTGCGTAGGTTGGATCCCAGAGACTGTGGAGGAATGGAAGCTTCTGCTACATCTCGTACAGAACAAGAGCAGGAACCCCCAGAAGTCACCAAATGGAAACTTCAGTGATGGGCCTCCCCCCATCAACGTGGAGAATGTGGCACTCCTGTTAGCTAAGGCCATGGGCCCAGATCGGGCCTGGTCACTGCTACAGGAATGTGGTTTGACCCTGGAGCTGTCAGAGAGGTTTACCAGAACCTGCGATATCCTAAGGATTGCTGAGAAAAGGCAGAGGTAATACTTGTCATGCCCTTTCCACAGGGGCTTGGGGAACGTAGATGCTCACAGATTTTCAGAAGGGGGGTGGGGCTTTTAGAGATCATTCAGCCCCAGCCGGTCACTAACAGCTGAGGGGGCTGAGACTCACCTGCTGATGAAGGCGATTGAGGGATGAGCCTAAAGTAACGTGTTTCACAGTCATGACCGAGACACTGTGCAGATCAGTGTGAATACCCAAAGTTGACTTGTAGTAGTTCTCAAAGACAGTTACTAGTACCAAAGGTCAACTTGTCTCAGGACTTTTTTGGTTTTTGTTTTCCTTGTGGTAAAATACAGGTAACGTAACATTTACCATCTTAACCATTTTTAAGTGTTTGGTTCAGTCGTGTTAAGTATATCTGTATTATCTTGCAAAACTTCAACCTTACGCATTAAACAACTCCTCATTACCCCCTCCGTGCAGCTTCTGGCAACCACCTGTCTGCTTTCTGTCTCTAATTTTGACTGCAGTAGTCTCCCCTTATCCAAGGGGGATATGTTCCCCAAGACCCCCAGTGGAAACCTGAAACCATGGATTTACTGAACCCATATATGTACTATGTTGTTTCCTATACGTGCATACCTATGATGAAGTTTAATTTGTAAACTAGACACAGTAAGAGATTAATAATAGCTAATAAAACAGAACAGTTAAGACAGCATACCGTAATAAAGGTTATGTGAATGTGGTCTTTCTCTCTCTCTCCATTCCTCTCTCTCTGTCTTTCAAAATATCTTACTGTACCGTACTCACCCCTCTTCTTGTGATGGTGTGAGATGAGAAAATGCCCATGTGATGAGATGAACTGAGGTGAACGACATAGGCATTGTGACGTAGTGTTAGGCTATTCCTAACTTTCTGATGATCTATCAGAAGGAGGATCATTTGCTTCTGGACCATGGTGGACCGTGGGTATCTGAAACCATAGAAAACAAAACTGTGGATAAGGGAGGACTACTGTAATATAAGTATCTTACATAAGTGGATTCATATGGTGCTTGTCTTTTTGTGACTGGCTTTTATTTCACTTAGCATAATGTTTTCAAGGTTCATTCATATTACAGCATGTGCCAGAATTTCCTTCCCTTTTAGGGTTGAATAATACTCCATGGTGTGGATATACCACGTTTTGTTTATCCATTCATCTGTCTTATGGACACTGGGGATGCTTCTACCTCGTGGCTATTATGAGTAATGCTGCTCTGAACACGGATATACGAATGTCTCTTTGAGACCCTGCTTCTAATTCTTTTGGGTGTGTACCCAGAAGTGGAATCGCTAGAACACATGGAATTCTATTTGTAATTTTTTGAGGCGCTGTCATACTGTTTTCCATAAGGGTCGCACCATGTTCCATTCCCACGAGTAGTGCACAAGTGTACCATTTTCTCCATATTCTCACCAACACTAGTTATTTTCTTTTTGACAGTAGCCGTCCCTAATGGGCATGAGGTGAGAAGTCACTGTGGTTTTTATGTGCATTTCCCTAATGATTAATGATGTTGAGGATCTTTTCATACACTTGCTGGCTGTTTGTATATCATCTTTGGAGACCTGTCTATTCATGTCCATTTGCCTATTTTTTAATTGCATTGTTTTTTTGATGTATGAATTTTTTGTATATTCTGGATATTAACCCTTTATCAGATTCATGATTCACTCCATTGACTGTGTCTTTTGATGCACAGACTCGGTCAGTTTTTTGAATCCTTTCATTCTTTGTGGGTTTTAAGAAGTTTTTTATAAAGAAAAAACAATGAAAACTAAGTGCACCTGTTTCTTTTCTTTCGGATTTCAGAGCCTTGATACAAAGCATGCTTGAAAAATGTGATCGGTTTCTCTGGTCTCAGCAGGCCTAGTGGAAGAAGATTCAGCAAATGTCACAATGCTTTGAGAAAAACTGAACCATGCTCCTGAACCTCCTGAGTGCATTTGCTGTTGAAGGAAAGGTACCACCGGAAAACCCTGCCACGTTACCGGGGGTACTTTAGTCAGTGTCTATAACTTCTGCATTTGTGGCTCTATCTGTGACCTCAGTGTTTGTCAACCACGGTTGAATTTTGACAGGAATCAGGCCTTGTTTGCTGAAATGAAGTGCTCTGGAATCAGAATTTGCAAGTTCACAGCCATGCAGGCCTTATTCTGAACTACAGTATTATTTTCTCCTTGCTAGTGGATTGGGGGAATTATCGTGACTCATGTAGAGAGCAGAAGTTTCTCATCCTGGTTGCATGAAGACAGATAAAATAACTGACAGGAGTTGAATTCTTTATATATCTTATCTGGAATAGTTGAGAAATTACCGAAATAAGACCTAGCGGAATGGAATTAGCACATGAAATAAGTGAAACACTGAAAATTCAGATGAGATATTTACATGGAATGACCCCATATTTAAATTGAGCTAATTGAAAATATATTTTTTCTCAGTATTTGACTTTTTCTAATCTGAACCTGTATGCAAATGACTGGAAAGGTTTTATCTCTAATCTTTCCTGAACAGTGGTCCAAAGGAATCATGCACTTTTTTAAAAACCATTTTTTAAAAGCCATAAAAAAGGAAAGCTAAGTACTAACAAACACTGTAGTAGGCGCTGTGCCAGGTACTAGAATGCCTTCCTCAGGCTCCTGTACATTTACATAGCATGTTACATTAATAATAAATGTAAAATCTGTTTTTATTTGAAGAGACCTGTATCTGTTAACATAAATGAACTCAATAAACACGAGGTTATTGTGAACGATTTGCGGGAAGGTGTGGCATAGACTCAGTGTGGAGTAAGAAAAGCGTTGGATACGTTGCATGATTCACTTCTTTTTTTCATTCCTAACACAGCCAGAGAGCTACAGACAGAAATGGCTGTCATACTTCCACGTGATATTCGGATATGATGTGACCAGAGGGGTTGAAGGAGATTGTCAGAGAAAGGAGGCTTCACAAAGTTTCTTAGGGTTTTGGGGAGCGTAGAAAACCTAAGACTTCTGGTCAACAGTGGGTGTCTGTGTGGGGGGGTGTGTGTTTGGGCGTGTGTGGTATTTCCCCTTACCAAGGAGGTCTCAACCCAATTCTGACACTATTGACCCTGAGGTAGCATCAGATCCCCCAGGTGAAGGGCTCAGTCCCAAAAGACTGCCCTCCATTTTATTATTTTTTTAATTTAAATTCAGTTAATTAACATATAATGTGTTACTGGTTTCAGAGGTATAGGTCAGTGATTCATCAGTCTTACATAACACCCAGTGCTCATTATATCACGTGCCCCCCTTAATAATGTCCATCACCCAGTTACCCCATCCCCCCACCCCGTGCCCTCCACTTCAGACACTAATTGCAAGTCCCAGTTGTTAACTATACTTCTGACCAACTGGCTGTACATCAGAGGTCCTCACGACCCCTTCCTTGGATTTGATGGTTTGATTAATTTGCTAGAGCGGCTCCCAGAACTCAGAGAAACAGTTTGTTTACTAGATTGCCAGTTTGTTATATAAGGATATAACTCAGGAACAACCGGATAGAAGAGATGCAAAAGGCAAGATTTGGGGGAAAGCGTCAGGAGCGTCCATGCCTGCTCCAAGCTCCACCTTCTCCAAATCGCCCCTTGTTCACCAGTCCGGAAGGTCTCTGAATCAAGTTCTTTGGGATTTTTTATGCCTTCGTTACAAGAGCATGGTTGATTAAATCACTGGTCACTGGTGATCAAACTCAGTCCCTCTCTCCCTCCTGAGGTCAGGGGTGGGGCTTGGGGTCTGGGCCTGAAAGTCCCGATCCTCTGAATCACTGGCAGCCAGCCCCCATCCTTAGGTGCGGTCCAAATGTCACCGCGTTAGTACTGCAAGGCATCTCTGTGGCATTCATCACTTAGGACATTCCAGGGGTTTTAGGAGCTCTGTACCAGAAATGGGAGGAAGACCAAATACGGACTTCTTAACCGCCAATCACAGTATCATACCTTCCCACTAGCATCAGCTGGGTTTTGGCTGTAGTGGATTATGTTGAATGTGAGTCTGTACTAAGGTAAGGAGCAAGACCCCTCCCTTCACTGTCCGTCAGCTTCTGTCATTACATAATGACTGTCCAGAAGAGGGCCCAGAAGAAATCTCAGGAGAAGGACACAGCCTGAAGTGGCCCAATTGTGCGATCATTTCCTGACGGATTGTTTTAAGGCATCTTACGGCAATCCTCATTTGCCAAAGGGACACAGAGAAATTTCTAGCATTAAAAAAAGAATAAAAATCATGTCATCTGAATTTGTTTTCCAAAGTAAACCAAGCAAGCAGCAAAAATCCCCTTCAGTGAAACACTGAAATTTGAACAGTCAAGTTGGATATTAGGCAGTGTTTTCCAATACAACTTGTATCTTTTACTGGCCTAAAACTTACAGACAGTGATTCATGGTGGCCTCACTTTCAACAGGCTGCAGGGTAGCGTAGTGGCTAAGAGCTTGGTGCTGAGGAGGGCTGTCTAGCTTTGAATGCTGCTCTGTCTCCTTATAAATGACTGTGGGGAAGTTACTTTTTTCTCTGTGTCCGTTTTCTCTTCTAAACAATGGGGACGGTAGTAGCACTCAGGATGGTTTGAGAAGTGACGGAGGTCATGAATGTGATGAATGTGAAGCACGGAGCAGGCGCCTGGCACAGAGTACAGGGAGAGCCATCTCTTGGTGACATGTGAGACTAAAGTGCAGGGCAGTAGAGCTTGTGACGGTGCCCAGGAACACGTGTTAGCTGTTGTGTGAGAGGATTAGAAGATCCTTGCACCCAGAAGTGATCAGACCCGGGTAAGCTGGTTCATACGAACCCGGGAGAGTGGGAGCACCAAAACTGAAGGTAAGAATGTCCTTGTATGTGTTAAATGTCCCTTCCTGCCCAAGGCTCCAAACCTTGTGATCGTCCTTGCCTCTCCCCTCCTCAACCATCACGTGCCACCGCTAGGGAAATCCTCTCAGTTCTGTGTTGGTGGTGGTTTCCACTGGTCATTCCCCGTCCGCCCTCCCCGCCCCTCCCCCCCGCCATCTCTGTTGCTGCAAGTCCACGTTCTCATTTCTTCTTGCCTGCCTAGACAGTTAGAGCAGTCTTAGTGACCTTTCTTTCTTCACTTGTAAATACTGCCTTCCCCCCGCCCCCCGCCACCACCACTCAGTCTCAGCTCCCTAAAATACAAGCACCTAGGCATCACCCAGGGCAGGTGATTCACAGCCCTGCCACACATTAGAGTCAGCACAGGAGCTTGTGAAAAATACTGAGTCGGGGATCCTGCCCCAGGCCTGGGATCTGTAGATCAAGGGTCTAATACAATCCTCAGCCGGCCTCCTACCCCCACATTGTTCCTAGATTTAGATAGAGAGTGGCCCTGGTTTACAGATAAACCCGTCTTGGTCTCATGGGAAGTTAATGAGCGGTCCACTGCCAGAGTTCTTGTCCTTTTGAGGCACGGCCTTAGTCACACCTCTTCCCAATCAGAAACTTTCGGTGGCTCCCCTCTGCTTTCAGAATAAAGCCCAAATCCTTGAGCTTGTCATTGAAGGCCCTCTCTGACTTGTTTCCAAATTCAGTTCCTCAGTTCGAGAGTTTGTCTCTCATCCTGGATTCTCTGTTTCGTGGATACGCTCTGCATGTGGGCCTCTGCTTTGGGCCCCTGCTTAAACCCTGAAGTGTCCTTCGCCCCAGTCCCCCACCTGCTAAATCCCACTGGGGTTCTGTGCCTTCAGATTCCACATGTCAATCTGGGTTATTTTACAGATAACATAAACAAGGGGCTGAAATCTCTCTTTGCGCCAGGAAACAGTAACTTCAGAGTGGGGTCAGAGCTTTTCCTACCCCTTCATTTAGAAGAAATCTGCATACCCCTAAACTTCCTGAATAACACTACAGAGTTGGAACCCAGTGCTGCTGTGTGGAGTCTGGAGTTTCCAGTCAGCCCTGGTCTAATGGATCAAATACAGATCACAGAAGCAGCCTGGAAAAATTCCTACTTGGTAATTCTTTCCAGAGGGCTTAGAAAAATACAGACTGGCACCACTGTGTCCTAAGTACAGACAATGTTTTCCCAGATAGTGTTTTTCCCATCTTGCCCAAGTAATACATTTTTCCAGATGGGCAACTCTGAATCAATGTGAATATTCAAACTGATGTTTCCCTCTAGTGATGTGGGCAATATTTATACCTGTTATCCGTAGGTAAAGCCTGGGTTTAGTGACTTAGTGTCAGGTTTGTTTGTTTTGTTTAAGTATTTTTTTTTAAGATTTTATTTATGTATATATTTGAGAGAGAGAGAGAGCACAAGCAGAGGGAGAGGGAGAAGCAGGCTCCTTGCTGAGCAGGAACCCCGATGCGGGGCTTGATCCCAGGACCCTGGGATCATGACGTGAGCCGAAGGCAGACGCTTAACCGACTGAGCCACCCAGGCGTCCCACCACCATCTTGGAATTTTTAATAATTTCTGAACAAGGATCTCCACATTTTCATTTTGCATTGGGACCCACATGTTAAGTAACTGGCTCCGGCTGCCACAGGAGATCTGAGGTGGAGCTTAAGATTTTACGTTTCCAACAGGTTTCCAGGTGATGCTTCCTTGGATCACCCTTTGGGTAGCAAGGCTCAGTCTAAAGTGTGGTAAAGCAGCAACTTGGAAGGAGCCAAGGCCCCTGGCAAGTGGATTACTTGCCACATTAAGCGAAACATAAATTTTTGTATTCCTTAAACTTCTGAATTTTTTTTTTAAAGATTTTATTTATTTGACAGAGACACAGTGAGAGAGAGAACCCAAGCAGGGGGAGTGGGAGAGAGAGAAGCAGACTCCCCGCTGAGCAAGGAAGCCTGACATGGGGCTCGATCCCAGGACCCTGGGATCCTGACCTGAGCCAAAGGTAGACGCTTAATGACTGAGCCACCCAGGCGCCCAAGCCTCTGAATTTTTGTTACAAGTGAGCTTTACTCTAATTAAAGGAAGTGAAGTAGAGCCAGTCACAGCTGGTTCTGTCCTCAGTTTATTTAGGCTTAAATAATTTTGGAGAAAGCCTTCTCTGAAGTGTGCCTCCGACTGTGTCAAACACCAGCTCAGGCTCTCTGGTTGCCCCCCTCCAGTGCTAGCGGGTGCCCGACTGGAACAGCCTTTACGACCTTGGGGACTGGAGAGGAGAAGCAGCCAAAGCAGTGCAGCCCAGGCTGGCCCGAGTTCAGCTTCGATGTTTGGAGGCAAGCCCGAGCCAACAAAAACTTGCTTCCTACTGCCCTTGAAACTTTGCCCCACTGGGGACCTTGTGGCTCAGATATTCCTTGGATCCCCTAACCACGTAGACTTAATCTGTTATTCAAGTCAAGGTCCTTGTATGAAAAGTACTGAAGGATCCTCAATCTCTAACCTCCAGGCAGCCCTCCAACTATAACCTGGGGTACAGGGGAGAATGGCACGTCCACACTTACCCAATAGTGAGATCCACAGGGCCCAGGGCCCATACAGATGGTGGCCCAAATGCCAGGCAGAGTCCAAGCTGTGAACAGGCTGGGGCTTTCTATGCACCCTTGCTGCTAACCTGCCCACAAACCGGGCTAGGTCTTGCCTAGACCAGAAACATTTCCGTTTCTCCCCGAAACGATTCTGTCAGCAGTGGAGGCTTTTCTCTGCCTGGCTTATTAACTGTAAGTCTCCATCAGAGAACTGGGGAGTCTTACTATTATTTATTAATACTGCCCAAGGAAGTAGTGGTGTAGCTTAAGGGAAGAGCCTCAGGTCGGCCTGCCTGTGTTCTGATCCTGGCTTTACCACTCATATCTGTGACCTTGAGCAACTTACTCAATCTCTTTGTCCCCCCGTGTCCTCATCTGAAAAAAAATCTACACCATAGAGTTGTGGCCGACTGGGACTAGAATTAGAGCTCAATAAATATTAGCCATTATGACTAGTACTATTATTCAGATATTCTTCTGGCCAATCCCCGTAATCCTGGTTTTTGTTTTTTAACCAAAACATAGTTTTATTTCACACTAAACATAGCAAGAGTTTTGCTTTTCTTTTTTTCATATGGAGATGGTAATATTTTTTAGAAAATTCCCTATGCATAAGATAAACAACAGATTCTTTTTTTGTCTTACCAAGATAATACTAAACAATTTTTTTTTTTTTTTTTTTTTTTAGAGACAGACAGAGATAGTGAGAAGAGAGCATGAGCAGGGAGGAGAGAGAGAAGCAGGCTCCCACTGAGCAGGAGCCCGATGTGGGACTCGATCCCAGGACCCTGGGATCATGACCTGAGCTGAAGGCAGATGCTTAACCGACTGAGCCACCTAGGTGTCTAAATACTAAACAATTTTTAAAAACTCCTGTGTGTAACATGGATATTATCTGAAATGACTGCCTAGTATTCCATTTTATGTGTGCGAGGCACATTGTTTGATGAATGTTCTCTCCTTTTCCCCCCCCGGACCCTAGTCTGTTAGTTACATTTTTTTCCTCATACAATTTTTTAGTTGAGATACAATTCACATACCATAAAATTCACCCTAAGTACTCAGTTCAAGGGTTCCTAGTATAGTCACAAGGTTGTGCAGTCTTCACCTCTGTGCAATTCCAGAACTTTTCCATCATGCCACAAAGAAACTTCATACTCTTAGCAGTCACTCCCTATTACCCCTCCTTCTAGGCCATGGCAGCCACTAATCTTTCTGTCTCTGGACTTGTCATTTCTGGACATTTCATACAAATAAAATCACATAATATATTGCCTTTTGTGTCTGCCTTTTATTTAATGTTTTCAAGCCAACATTTCATCCATGTAGCATGTATTAGTACTTTATTCCTATTATGGCTGAATACCATTCCACTGTATGAATATACCACATTTTGTTTAAACACTCATTAATTGATAAATACTTGAGTTGCTTCCACTTCTTGGATATTTTGAATAATGCTGCTACTTCCATCATGGAAGGGACAATGCTTTTCCGTAATGGAACAGACACAATGAAAATAGATTTGTCTCCCCAGCATGCAATGCTTCTGCCGAAGTCTGGACTTACAGAATGCCTTATCCACCATCATGGTATTTCTTTTACACAGTATTACTCCTGACTAAGGAACTAATTTTGCAACAAATGAAACGTGGCAGTGGGGCTATCCTCATGGAATTCACTGGTTTAACCATGTTCCCTATTATCTTGAAGTAGCTGGCTGGATAGACTGCTAGAGTAACCTTTTGAAGACTCAGCTACAGTACTAGCTAGATAGCAACACCTTGCAGGGATAAGGCAGTGCCTCCCTCCCCATATGATATGTGCTTTAAATCGGCGTCCGATATATGGTACTGTTTCTCCCGTAGCCACAATTCATGAGTCCAGGCATGAAGGCAAGGAAGTGTTAGTGCCTTCGCTCACTATTAGCCCTACTGATCCACTAATGTGAGAGCCAGGCCCATCCAACCGGCCTCACAGAGGGAGCTGTGAGGGCTTAGTTCAGCCTAGCCAAGTTGACGTAAGTCATCACTGGGAGTCATAATTTTTATTTCTAATGAGAAAGCTTGCAAAGTATTGCCAGAGAAAATTATTTTTTCTATGATAAAGTGAGATTATGTCAGTTTAGATGGTACTTTATTAGAGATTTTGCTATAGATTTGGATATTCATCTTTAAGAGAAACATTACCACGTTCTGCAGACCAAAACCTGTATCAAATATCAAATATCCTCCACAAGTCCCGAACGCTGCTCCCAGCCCCGTCATCCTCTGCAGCCTACGTTTCTTCCTGTTTCATACATTCACTCAGTGTTTACTGAGCATCTACTATGTGCCAGGAGCTGTGGTAGTTACTCCGCATAACGAGGATGACATACAACAAAGTAGACCTGCTTTTTGCCCTTCGTGATGGGTCCTGGGGACAATAATGTACGATAGCAGGTACACGTGAACTCCCTCAGGTTCCTCGTCCTCCCTCTCAAATGTTCTGCACCTCCTGACTGCATTCTCTTTACCTTCCTTTCTCAGGAGCAACTCCTTCCTCCTTTTCAGGTTAACCCATCATCTGTGACCTTGACCTCATCCCCGACTTTTGACTAATTAGTTAAAAAATAAATTATTTCAACCATTCGTTCATTTAAGTCTTGAGGTTCTATTATGTACCAGATACTTGGCTTAGTGCCAGATATTTAAAGCTAAATAAGGCAGAAATTGTTACAGCCTAGGATGGAAGCTGGGGACCAAGAAAACAAAAACAAAACAGTAACAGAAAAATGGAAACCAAGAAGTGAAAAAGAACATCCTGCATATTAGTAATAGGAAGGAAAGAATAGGCACGGTAGGCAACTCCGAGCAGCCAGAGAAGGCCTCTCTGAAGAGCGATTTCACGTGAGACACACAGGATGAGAAGGAAGCAGCCATGTGAAGAGCAGATGGATCCAGTGTTCTAGGCAAACACGCTGTGGCAAATTGGAGCTTGACTTGTTGGTGGGACTGAGGGAAGACTGGCTGGAGAGCCATGGAGGTGTGATATAATGAAGGAGCACGTGATATCATGAAGGCAATTGAGAGCATCTTTCAAGAAAGCGGGGGAAGGCAGGTGTGCTGAACGTCGCTCAGAGGCCTACTGGGACAAGGAGGGATATGTCACTTGCTTGGGGCAACACGGAGGTCCTCGGTGGACAAGAGTTGCATTGCTGGAGTGCTGGGGACGGGCCAGGCTGGAGCGGATTCAGGTGTGAGTCAGAAGGGAGGAATCGTGTAGATGGGTGGCTCTTTCAACAAGTCAGACTGGTAGGAGGAAGAGGAAAAGGTGCGAGAGTTGAGTGAGGCGGGCTGAGTCCGGGTGTCGGATGTGGTCATTTCCCGGGGAAGCCGTTGATGAGTGCCTGGACCGTGCGAGGCGGAGCGCCTCCAG